TCAACATAGAAGCTGGGAAGCAGCATAGATTCCCTTTGCATTTAACAGTTCTTACAGTCTTGCAAAGTTGTTTCTTATGAAATGTTGGAATGCTATTTTAGCAATAAAAATAGCAGTACCAAGTCCTTATGGTGTTTCCTTGTCTTCACTTAAATGTTATTACTCATTCCAGAAAGTCAAAACACTGTTGTTAAAATTCTTTCAGTATCTTTTTAGTGTCACTGTTTGATGGAGACTGTGTTCACCACAATGCAATAGAATTAGTAATCTCCTTCCAAATTTTGGTGTATTTTCCAAAAGACAGCTTTTAGCCTTTATTTGGGGTTTCCAGGCTTCTTTCAATTTTTGTTCCCCACTCTTCCTGCTCTTAGACTGCATGAATTCAGTGTTTCTGTTCTAAGATACTAAGATGTACGTAAAATAGTGAGAACCTTCCTGCTAAGACTAACAGCAAGACCTCAGTCCCTGCCAAGTTTTTAGACAATTCAACTAAGGGTAGCAGTACAGAGGACTGAATTACAGAACTCTTATACGTCACTTCCAAGTTCATTTTGTGTTTCAGCTGAATCCAGTACACTGAATCCAATCATAGGAGAGCAATGACAAATGCTGAACAGCACACCTCATTACTGTACCTATGTGAGACACTGGATACTGTCTATAGGTGATCCATTCAGCTGCTGGATCTCATTGTTTTAACTAAACCCATTTCCTGGTGTTCTGAAGCAAGTTCTCTCTACTTAATAAATAAATAATTGTTCTACATTTGTTTGCTTTCTGTTTAGGCATGTTGCACTGGAGGGTGCTATATAAAACCAAATGAAGTTATATAAATAATCAGCCATGTGATTCTTGTAATAAATTGTTCCCCTTTATGTCATGCATTCAGAGGATGTAGCCCCATGGGATTATTAAGACTTTCATCCAGTAGTGCAGTTTCAGTACTTTATTTTGAAAGTCTCTTAATAGCTAATTTAAAACAAGAGAACAATTAAATGTAAAGTATTCTTTATTAAATAAACTCAAAAGATAAATCAAATTGTGCAGTTAAGACAACAACGTGGCCAAAGGATTTTTACAGCAGAAAACAAATTGCGGCAAATGAGCATTTCAATCTAGCAGCCAAACTGTCCTCATTTTTATGGAGTTAATTTCGGTCCTCAAATTGTGACTTGTTTTTTAAAAGATATGCTGCTAGAAATTCAATGGGATTGGGCGGTCTGCAAAGAAAAAAAGTAAATCAAAAGCAGTTATTTTTTATTATATGAAATTAGGTGGCTGCAGGACAAACCACCTTCCCTTAAAAGAACGTAATTCCTCCCAAACACTTCTAAGCATTGATTTAGGGATGACAAACTACCTAGAGTGACTCTGCAAATTTCCATTTTATGTTTAATGAGAAGTTTTTAAAAAGGAGTCTTAGTTACTGCTGGTTCAATGTTACTAAATTGCTAGAACAGTTACATGCCTAAAACCACAGCCTGTAAGCATAAATACTGTATGTACATCATTGGCTATGACATGCATTTGCCTGTTTAACTCATGCTATTTAAACTGAATCTCAGCTTTTTTGCTTAATTTTTTTTTCAAGGGGTTATTGTGTATCTTAGTGTATTAAGAGTTGTTTTTATGGTTTCTGGCAAGTAAAACTAACACAACAAATCTTCAAGTCTGAGAAGTGCTGTAGCTTGAAAGTAGTCAATAGTAAACATTTTTGATCACTGGCCTTAGTCTAGTTTTTTTTAAAAAAACTCCTTCAGCTATACCATGTGAATCCTGCTAATCTGGATTCTGTCCACAGAAGGTCAAACCAAAGGTGTGGCAGTGAGCAAATATGCCTATAAAGAGCACAAAAACAACAACAACAAAAATATACAGAGATACTTCTCGGGACCATCCTTTTGGCTTCCAAGCATGTACCAATTTCTGAGCTAGCACCCTTAATAGTCCTGGGTGGATTCCTCTACAGCTTTGACCAGTTGCCTCTTGAGCACAAAAAAATGTCCTCAACTGAAAACAAAAAAAATAGCTTAATTATGTGACCTGTGAAGGATCAGCCCTTTTGTTTGTTATAAATTTGCTAACTGCTTTGTTTAATTTGATTACTGTATCAGAAGAGATAATAAACACTCCACCCAATCCATCATCTCTGTGCTGTTGTGATTTAACAGGCCCCTAGTATGTTCATCCACAGAAGCCTCTTTTCTACATATCATCTATTCAGTCACTCCATACAGAGATGGCATTCCATCTTCTGACTGCCTTGTCACTCTCACTTTTTCACATTCTACCAGAATACAGGGGCATTACACATAATATTAAAAATACAAGAACATCACAAATTTAAATAATGACATTGTGCTTGTTTTTTACCCCATTTTTTACCCCGTTCAGTTTCTAAGTCCTGCCATTCAGAATTTATTTTTTATTAAAGCAGTGCATTGACATACACATGTAACAGTTTAACATTTTTCCACAAGGGTGATTTTCAGCTCAGAATCTAACATTTTGTCAGTAGTGCTTTCCACTACCCTCCAATGTCCACAATTTTATGTTTATTTGGATTCAATGTCACTTTGTGTCAGTTTAAATTTTTCTTCACATTTTTATGAAGTTCCTGTGCAATTATTTACAGTTCATCTACTTAAAAGCAACTTAAAAAAAAGAAGCACAAAACTCCCCAATCTATTCTGTAAAACTCAGTCTCATTAACAACTTTTGTCAGCCACTTCTTCAAATTCTTAAGGGATCTTTTCCATGATTCTAGTGTTGAGCTCGTTTCACCATGAAAATTCAACATTTACTTCTACCCTCTATCTCATATCTTCCCATCACTTCCTCATCCATATAAAGGTGTTTCCTTTAATCCCAACAGCAACTAACTCTCTTTAAAAGACGTCAGTGAATAACTATGTGAAAAACTTTTTGGAAATTTAAACACGCAGACTGCATCATTTGCATTCCTCTTTATATATGCTTGTTGATTCCTTCAATAAACTCCAAGATACTTAAAAGATACTGACAAAAATTGTGTTGATTTCCTCACAAATATGTCATTTATACATATGCTCACTATCCTGGATGGTAGTTTCTACTGAATTCCAGGCATGATCATCAGATGTACTGGGCTGTTCCCTGAACGTGTCTATATTCCTTTGAAAAAGAACTTAGCATCCACTAGTTACTTTCCTGTTCAATTTTAAGCAGTAGATTATACATCAGAGCTGATAGTTCAGCTTTCTCACTCCTGAGGGTTTATTATGCTCACCTGAACAAACAGTTTGACCTGGCAAGTTCATACTATTCAGATTTTTACCTCTATGTTCCCCAACCCCTCCTATCAATGATCCAATTTCACTCCTGTGATGTGCCCCGGTAAAGAAGATGGAAAAAGGTAAGGCAAGGAAAGGGGAAAGGGAAGAGAAGGGAATGAGAAAGGGAGGGGGAAGGGAAAAGCCTGCCTGTCACACAAATATCCAGTGTGTAAGGATGGGGTATTAACCCTGGGCTGTGTTTTACATGGAGTCTGCAGCAGAACTCCCACAGATGTCAGCTGAAGATCTGCACATCCCTCAGGCATGCACATGGGGTGGATCTTCCTAGATCTTTAATTTTGCTTAATTAGCTGTCTGTACACTGCAGTTTAAATGCCCATCTCCTTTTGAAGTTCATACACTGTTGATGGTTCTTCTGACTGTAGGTGCCATGATGCAATTATGGTCATTTATACCAGCTTTTGATTGTATTAGTTCAGTTTGAGAGATGGTTACGTGCAGGACGATTTGCCACTAGTGAGGATACACCAAAAGGCTAGAAATTAGTTAATTGCTGTTATTGAAGGATACCTTTCTACACTGACTGGTAAAGAGAGCTGGTACACCTCAATAGCATTATCTTTACTCAGAGGATAAACCATCGGTCTGCTTCTTACTGTGCTGACAGTGCAGGCTCAATCACAGTAATTCATAGCTTCATAAACCTGTTGTAATGACAATCTTACAAAGAGCAAAACCGTACTTGGTGTGTGAGGCCTGAAAGGTGCTGCACTGCCCAAGTTTGAGACCTACATTTTCCTATGAACAGAAGGAACACAGAAACATCTTACCTCTCTTTTGCAAGAACAGCAAGTCCCTGTAGCAAGATAGGTACAACTGTCTGATCCAAGTAGGCACGTGTGGGTAGTGACTGGAGATCCACCTTCTGCTTCGATGTTTTCTCGGCATTTAGTTTCTCATTTTCTACTATTCTCTGAAGTAAAAAAAAAAAAAAAAAAAGTGAGTGAACATTGGTAATCGCAGCTACAACTACCTTGAAGTGTGTGTGCGAAGTACCCATCTCTGCAATAGGATGGCAATAATTTCTTTAAATTTTATCTTTTTTTCTTTATCTTTTAAGAATATTTAAGTGCCTATTTTTCCTTGCACAAAAAACTAATCCAGAGGAACCTTCTGTTAAATTCCTATGTTTTCGGGACACAATGTTTAGAAGTTGTAAATTTTCTACAAGAGAATACATTCAATCCAAGTAATTTTTATTTCTGCTTTTGCATTCACTGATTTGAACTCTACACCAGGAAGACAGGAATGACTACTAACGAGAGTCTCAGTTACATGGTTCCTGTACACATGTGCTTCTAACACAAAATGCTAAAATCACAAGGAATTCAGGTGAAGCCTGACAAAGGGGACTCTGCTGAAGTCAAGTACTTTGTGACTGTGCTCTACTCTGGTTTTAAAGAAAACATAAGCAAAATGTTTCCAGGTACTTTTTGATCAAAAAGTGCTGAATCATCTTACACCATTAACTGTAATTGAAAAGTGAAACCCTCCCACTGCCAGTAAACCAAACACATTCAATGCAATGTACATGAATCTACTGACATGGGACCAGTGTGTTATGGTTCTGTAGGAACCATGGAAGCTGAGGCATAGAGACAAGCAGGTATCAAAGAGATGCATCTCAGAAGGTGTTTAAGAATAGTTTCTGCAACAGCTAAGCACAGAGTAGGAACTTATAATAAAGGGAGACTGAAGGCTTTTCTTTAATAAGAGGAGTAAATAAATGCCATAGAGTTAGGAAGTGATTGTCCCAGTTTACTCAGCACAGGTTGAGCCTAATGTGGATGGCTTTTTTTGTGCCACAATATATATCTATACTTCTCACAAACAGCAATAGAACATATAATAATTGTAAGATACTTTAAAAAAAAACCCAACTCATTAAAAGGCTCATTATTTACTTCAGTACCATTTAGTACAATGGAAGTAGCACAACAGAAAATATATTTACAGCTGTTTCCGCAAGGGACAGGTATTTCTTAGCTCCATTTAGAATAGTACATTTTCTGAAGTTTGAGTCAGGATTCAACTTTTTTCCCCTAATCACAAATATGATTTCCACTGCAACAAAATCTTAGTTACCTCCACATTTTCAGTGAGACCGTATTCGGAATGAGGATTTTCCGGAACCTGTAAAATAACACACGGTTAGCAAAGCTAAAATGCTCCTTTTATGCATATAACGTAAGACACATAAAACATTTCTTGTAATACCTGTGGCTGTCCCTCCATTATCTGTTCTCCCTCCATGGTTCAAAAAGTGAAATTTGATGGACGTACAGGAAGATCTTGGAAAGCAATAAAAAAACTGGTCAGCAGGCTGAGATGAAGCCCATGTGAGTTAAGTGATATTGCATCACTTGGTTACTAATGGTTACCAAGGAACAATTACTACAACGCAGAGAGAGTTGGTCCGTGCTCCCCCCCGCGCCAAACTTGAACTGGTTTCTCCCGCACGCAGAACCGAGAAGTGCCTTTAAGTTTTGCGTTACGTCCGCTGAAGAGAGCAGTACTGGGATTAGAAAATACAGCACTCATCCCCCCGAGAAGCCGGAAGCATCCCTTTCCTTCCTTCCCTGCCTCCGTCCGTCCCTCCCGTGCCCGCCACCTCACCGCCGGCCACAGCGCCCCGAGAGCCCCCTCGGGCAGGGCCGGGCCGGGGCCGCGCCGCAACCGCGGGCCACGTGCAGGCACCGCCCCCGGCCGTGCCCCGGGCGCCCGGCGGGGGAGAGGCCGCCCCGCCGCAGGGCTCTCACCGCCGGTCGGTCCGGGATGGGAGGGACACCGGGATGGCCGGGACACCGGGATGGCCGGGACACCGGCAGCCGCTCCGCAGCAACCGCGGCCGCTGTCGCGAATTGTTTTGACGTCAGCGAAGCGGTCGCGCGGCCGGCCCCCGGCGCACTGCGCCTGCGCGGGCCCCACCCGGCGGCGGGGAAGGCGGAGCGGAGCGCGGGGCGGGTTTCGGGCCCAGGGGTCCTGTCGGGAATAAGAACTGCGGGATGTGCTCGCTTCCAAATCAACCTGGGGTTTTGGAGTACGGAAACGTGCTCGGAATCAATGCGGCTTGCTGTCTGAGGAGGTCGCTGTCGTGTTCATGAGGAATAACATTGCTGAAGTTATTTTGGGTGTGAAAGTGAAGTTTTGTTAGTGAAATAACTTTCCAGAGCTGCATAGAGCGTGGTTTGCACAAAGGTGAGTGCTGGCCGCTAATTTTCTCTCTGCGAACAAAATCGCGGCTGCTCAGCTTTCACCAGGGATCAGCTTCGGGCATCCTGACTTGAAGCTGTCAGGAAGTGGAAGAGTTTGCTGCTTCTGTAGCTGTTGTGCTGCTGCAAACTGTACCAGTGTTTGAACATCTGTGCCCTGTTGATTTGTTCTCTTTTCGCTAGGAATTGAATTTGAGGAATAATTTCTTGACACTGAAGGTGGCAGAGCACTTGGAGCACAGGCTCATGGAGGTCATGAAGTCTTCTCTAGAGGAGACTACCTGACTCAAAACCTGGCTGGATGCTCTCCTGTGTCATTCGCGTTTGATATCCCTGCCTTGGCTAGGGGGCTGGACTAAATGATCTCCCGAGGTCCCTTCCAACCCTAACGATTCTCTGAATTCTCTGTCTGGTAATGTGGTTTATGCTAGTGAATTAAAGTGCCGTAATAATATTTTTGCGTTCAAATTGACAAAGTAGTTTCATTTCTGTAGGTTTGGGGTTTTGGGGGGGGGGGGGCTTGGTTTTTGGTTTGATTGGGCGTTTTTTTGTTTGGGGTTTTTTTAGAAAATAAACTTTTTTATTGTTTTGCAAAAATAAGTCTCTGCTTCTTTTTTTGTCTTCTTGCTGCAGTGCTGATGATGCGTATGAATGATCTAGTTGATGCTCCTAAAAGATTAGTGAATTGGAGAAATAACAGAAATGCCATGTTTTCAACAGATTCTGCTCTTCTGTAATCATCTAGTAGTGATAATAATGAAGTGTGAGTACATAAATGAATTTGAAATAATGTTTGCAGACCTGACAAGGTTACCAGTGTAATAAGCAGACTCAAAAACTACTGCTCAAAAACCAGTCACAGATTTGATACTCATTCAACTGAAGAACTTGGACTTAGACCAGAACTGTGTCCTGTCTTTAAGACTATTTTAGTAACTAGTGCTGGCAAACCTATGTGATGATAAAGAGGTAAGCTGAAAACAGATTTATTTACTAAAACTTACAGCAGGAATACAGAAATTCTTAATGTGAAGAGGTATAAGCTTTTCATTCAGTTTTGAGCCTCTCTGAATTTTTCATCGTGTTCTAGCAATGACATTTTAGAGAATTGCATTTAGAGGTCCTGTTGGGAAAGAAAAACGGTTTTCCAACTTGCTTTTTGTGCAATGGTAAATCATGGTGTCAGGGTAGTTGCAACTTTCTAATTCCTATGACTGTAGTGCTGGTCTGCTCAGATTACCGAGTCTTTTGCTGAGACACAGGAGATTGTATCTCCTGTATTTCCAAGTCCTTCATCTTCAGAGTAGAGTCAAGAGTTGTCCATTCCAGAGAAGGAGGTGTCACTTCTTCCACCTCTTGCTGATGCTCATCAGAACCTTTGCTAAGCCAGGATACCTCACTAACCAGCAGAAAGCCAGCCACTGCTCTGATGTGGTGTAAGGGTTTGTGATTTTTTTTTAAATTTTTTTTCAAACTAGCATTAATCTTCACCAGATTATTAATTAGAATGGTTCACTGACAAGTCCAGTGACTGATAGCGTGATCTTAATAAAGGAGGGTAGGGAAATTCAACTTGCAGAGCACTAAAATATTTAATAGCCACAATAGTGAGCTGGTTCTATAGGTTTTCACTAAAAATATTAAGACTTGCTAACAATTTCTCACTGATTCCTGCTTTTGGCTTAACATGTTACGCCCCTAGAAAGTGCACTCTTCTATTGTCATGGTACAGTCATATGATTCACAAAGGTGTCAATTTTTAATTTTTAAAATTTTTTAAAAAGTAAAAGTAACAGAATAAACCAGTTACTCAGGATTGATTGAGATACGTTGTCTTCCATTGTCATTCAATCTGTCCTTGTTAATAAATGTATTCCTTCACTGGCTTTTCTATTTTGCTCAGGAATGGGATGATACTTTAGATTGTAGTGGATTAATAAAGACAATAGCTCAATTATCTGTTGTTATGGCCTTACTTCACATTTTTGAATACTACTTAGTGTTAACACTGCTTGAAGCTTCTGGAGTTTCTTTGGTATTACAAAATCTGTTAAACCTTTACATCAGTAAACGAGATTTTTTTAAAGGACAGTTATGTATACTAAAAAAACCCCAAATTTCTCCACTCATGAGGGGGCTGGAACATACTTGATAATATTTTCATAACAGAAGTATACAAGCTTACTTACAAAACACAGAAGAAAAATACTTGATGGACATTACTGCATTTTTTCAGCACTGATAGATTCACTGTTTGTCTAATTAATACTCTAGGTCATGAATGGTTGTTATATGTCTGTACGTTCCTTAAAAATTATTATTTAAAATTCTGTATTTGATAGAGTAAGCAAAGTGTATAATGTGTACTGTTCTGTCATTAGAAGAAAACCACTCCACTCTGTTATTTAAGAAAATTAATACACAGTACGAGGGGCAACTGGGAGTAACTTTATGAGGCATAAACAAACAAGAAAAAAAATAGTTATGTTATAATAATTTTGGAAGAATTAATAAAATATTGCAGACAACAGTAATTTTAGTTTGGCATATGCTTTTTATTAACATGCCCCATCAACCCCCATTTCTTGCTGTAAGCTGGTGCAAACTTACTTGTGCACTGACTCGGCTATCTACAGTTTTGGGACTGTCTCGGCTCCTGTGTGCAGTTCAGGGGTGCAGCAGAGAGATGATCTGTCATAATCTCACTCAGTATTTTATTTGTAGAACAGAGAGTGTGACAGAGCAGAGCAACGGTGAAAAAGATCAGACAAGGCAACCACAAAGATGGGAAGATTGAAGCAGAGAGGGAGGTGTTTGCCAAAAGGGCGAATATAGCGGTAGGCACAGAAGTGCTGGTGTATGGATGCCTCCCCTAGGTTGCTAGACCGAAGGTACCAAAGCATTTTTAAGGTTTGAAATAACCAAAGGAGTAGGGAGCTGGAGGATCTATCTCTTTGATAGAGACACAAATAAATAAATATTATGTCTGGGCAAATAATTGACAAGGGCTTGGACAACCGCGTGTTCATTTTTGTTAAGGAGAGTGGATTAAAGATTTGATTTTTTAAATTTTTTTTCCCCAGAGCGATGTATCTATAATGTATAGTGAATTCCATTAGCTCCCTGCATGTGAGGAGACGGCCTGTCATTCCCATTACAGAGCTGCGGAGCTGACAGAGCACCGGAGCACGCTCCCGGGGACAGCTCCACGGCGGCGGGAGCAGGGACACCGCCGGCGACTGGCTGCTGCACGCCTCTCCGTGCCAGGGAATTCCCCGGGCTCTGCCTGTGTGCCACTAGCAATGACTCCAGGCGGGAGCGGCGCCAGGAATCTGCGCCGCATTGTGCCAGCGGGGTGGCTCACAACCCCAGTCAGAATAACTAATCCTATTAAATTATTCATCGCCCGTCCTCTCGGTGCGTTTCATGGGCCGACACTGACTGGCCTCTGCCAGGGCTGGAGCGGGCTGGGGCTTTCACTGTCGAGTTGCGGTCCCTACAGCACCCCGAAAGGAGGCTGCAGCCAGGTGGGGGGCGGCCTCTTCTCCCGGACAACCAGCGGAAGGAGAAGGGGACATTGCCTCAGGCTATGCCAGCGATGGTCCAGGTTGGACGCTAAGAGGAATTTCTTCACAGAAAGGGTTGTTTAACATTGGGATGGACTGCCCGAGGAGGTGGTACAGTCACCGTCCCTGATTCAAGAATCGTCCGGACGTGCTACTTAGTGCTATGGTCCAATTTTGCACCTTTACATTGCAAAGGCTAGACTCGATGATCTCAGAGGTCTCTTCCAACCCCATTGATTCTGTGATTCTGTGCTGTCCAGGCCCAGCGCTGAGCCTGTCCGAGAGCCCGCCCCTCGGGCCGTGGGAGCGGAGCGGGGCGGGCCGGGTGCTGGAGGCGCCACTCCGTCGCCTCCCATGGCGGCAGGGGCGGTGCCACTCTCCCCGCTCCCGGCCTCCGTCCCTCCCCTTGGGCCGGCCGAAAGGGGCGTCGCCGCCGCCGCCATCACCATGGCCGGTTGTTGTCAGTCCCTGGCAGCGGGTTATGGCGACGGCGGTGAATGAATTCTCCGGGTGGCCGAGGGAAGAAGAAGGGCTCAGCCGGCTCCAGTTCCGCGCCTCCGACCGCCGGCGCCTCTCCCTCCTCGCCGCCCGGGCCGGCGCCCCCCGTGCCGCCGGCGGGGGCGGCGGCGGCGGCGTCCCCGCACAAGCGGAACCTGTACTACTTCTCGTACCCGCTGTTCGCCGCCTTCGCCCTGCTCCGCTTCGTCGCCTTCCAGCTCGGGCTGCTCTTCGCCTGGCTCTGCGAGCGCCTCTCCCGCGGCGCCCTCATGGCCGCCAAGGGCAGCAGGGCCGGGGCCGGCGACGCGCCCGAGCCCGGCGGGGCGCCCGAGACGGTGCGGGCGTGCCACAAGCGGGCCTTCGAGTGCATCTCCATGGCTCTGCGCATCGATGAGGACGAGACAGGTAGGGAGGGAGCGCCCGCGGCCGCCCCGGTGTGCGGGGAGGGGGGGCGGGAAGGCCCTGTGCCGTGGAACCGCTTTCAGCTGAGAGCAAACAAAACCCGCTCATGAGAGAAATGCGGGCTGCGGACGGTGTGTGCGGGGCTTGAGCCGAGCTGTGCCCGCATGCGGTGGCGGTGCTTTGGTCCCCGGCCGGGTACGTCCCTGCCGCAACCCCGCAGGTGCGGGTTGGATCACAAAGCTGCGGCTCGGGCTCGTTCCCCTTGCAATACAAGTGCTGGTATTTTTCCCCCAAAACTTAAGAGTTTTTGCCGCGGAGGTCTGAGTGAGGCGATTAAAAATTGTAGGCGGCTGTGTCACTGTAACTAGCCTTCACCAAGCCAGCCGGACAACAAAAGCAGCAAGAACAATAATGAGGGTGCATCCTATAATGCCCTGCCTGACAAATGATGAGTGCTGAAGCGAGGCTTCGGGTTACTTGGCCCTCGGAATGCCCATTTGGAATGCTGTGACTTTTAAGGAAAGAAATACTTATTTATATTTTGGTAGTTTCTTAAAAAATGTTTTTCTTAAACTGTTAGACATGCGTACTCTTTAAGAATCTACCACTGTGTGATGAGAAGACCTTAAGAAGGACGTTTAAAGTTCAATAAAATAAAACAGAGGAGCGAGGAATTTTTTTTTAATTTTTTTGTAAAGCATTAAAACAACTCAACCGAACAAAACACTTGACACTGAATTTAATTTAACCGTTTATTCTGAATACAGCAGCATAATTCTGTCAGCATGCAAAAGGTAGGCCTTGCTATGCTGGTTTTTAAAATTTTCTGGAAAAGTCAGAATGCTTCATTCTAAACTTTCAGCTGAGCTTTAATGAAACTGCTATCCTAGAGGAGGAGATGAAAAATCTAGGAGTAGGCCTTCAATAGAAGCTGCATGCTGAGAGCACCATAAAAGCGTGGGATGTGTCCTCCTTTGCGTTGACAGTTCGGGAGTGGCAGTGATATGCTCTGGGAGAGAAAAAAAATAAACCTTCACTGTGTTTTGCAAGGTTAGTTCAGCACAGATGTGCAGCGAGAGAGTGCTGAGGGTCATAGGAGCAAAGCATGAAAGAAGGTAACTGAGAGCTTCGGTGTTGTTGATGATTGCTCCATGAGGAGTAGCAAAGTCTTTCCTTGTCAGACACCTGTTCCACTGTTGTGACCTTTAACTGTTGGTGGTTTGGAGGGTAAGCCCTTAAATACCAGTTTTAATCATGGACTTGCTCTGTAGGTATCTTTAGGGTGATCCCACATGAATTGGCAGCACAGGCCATACATTTATTAAGATGATCTTCGCTGCTAATATGGGCAGTTGCACAACTGTTACAGTCCTGCAACTGCAATATGCATTCCACTGAGAAAAAACTCACTTTAGTACATCTATGTACTTTAGTACATAGATTTGTTATTTGCTTATCTGATTTTGCCAGAATACTTGTCTATCTTTGAAAATTTTTTGATCTGTAAACAAGCTTTTTATAGCTTCAAAGAGAAAACTGTATGTTAGATGTGGTGTGTAAAATGGTTGGAATTTCTGAATTGTCTAATAGCCTCTTAGTTATGGGACATTTTTGCTGTTGTGGGAGCTATGCATACTTCAGTAATTTTGATAGTACTTCTGTTAATTTTTTATGCTTCTGAATTAGTGAGGCAATTATTCTTATTCTGGTATTTTCACAATTAAGCTTAATAACTTTTCCTAAGAAGGCACATGTGGTGTGTTGACCCCTGCAAGAAGTTAAGCATCTACACAGCTGCTTGTTTACTCTTCTCAGTGGGACAGGGCAGAGCATAGGAGAAGCAGAAGTGGGGGGGGGGGGGGGGGGGGGGGAAGGTGAGAAATCTTTCCAAACAAGGATTGCCTTGGAAGACGGCCCTCATTCAGTTATTCATCTACCCAGGTTTTTATTGATGAGCATTATATTGTATGATGCAGAATATTCCATTGGGTCAGCCATCCTGCTAGTGTCCTCTCCCAACTTCTTGTGCACCCTCAGCCTGCTCACGGGGGATCTAGATGGGAAAAATAAAACCTTGAGGTTGTGCTGTTCAACAATACTCAAAACATTTCCGTGTTATCAACTGTTTTAGTCACAAATCCAAAAGACAATGCCATTGGGTCTGTTTGAGGAAAATGAGCTCCATTCTGCCAGAGCCAATATCAAATCAGCAACTTCCAAGGAGAGTGACATTTATTGTATTTTTAATGTCTTAATCACTGAGAACTAGTCAACCATTCAGTGTGGATTTGGAGCACAACCTTTGCAAACAGCTTGGTGTGGTGTTGTGCTTTTAAACTTTCTCCAGTTAAACCTGGAAGTGAAATTTTAATGATGACCTTGGCATGTTTGCAGCTGCCCCTAAAAATAACAAAGTTCAGGGTTTGTTAGTGGAGGTGGCTGGAATCATCTCAAACCAGATTTTTATTTGGGTATAATCAGTATTAGATTTATGATTTACACTGTAGTCGAAACTGTTTCTGTGGGTGGAAGGAAGAAGAAGCTTAAAGTCTAAAGAGATGATTGAAGTCACTCACCTTGGGTGATTTAGTTTACCTAGCTTTGTCCTTAACAGTCAGCATATATGAAGCTGGTGAAGGGAGGGCAGTAATGAAATGACTCCCATTGTGTGTTGTGTTCATGACTATAGGCAGGTGCTCTGTGGTTTGTAGTGGTAAGAAGAGAAAAGCATTAAATTAATTATCTGTGCAGGGGAGCTTGCCAAATATTATTATTGGGAGATTTTTTTTTTTTAATCTGAAGAGGAGCAAGAGAAACCTCAGAAGAGGATTCTAGAAATGGATTGAAATATTTTTATTAACACTGAAATTTGCTATAAAATAGGTTTGGGACTGAAGTTATCAAAAGATTTGAGTGTAGAAGAACACAGCCAATGGTAACTGGCACTGGGGATAGTTTTGTGAAACATTATGTCATCTGAAACTAGAGAAATGATATCTGAACTTCTATTTAGTTTTTCTTTCAATAGTATCTTGTTAATGCTGATCAGGTTTTAAGGTCTAATATCTAATCTGTTATATTCCTCTGTGGAAATGCATGCTTAGTGTGATATAATTATGTTGTAAAAGTATTCTTCCATATGCAGGTAAATATATTTTTAATGTAGAGTATTTATAGAAAGGGAGGAATACGAAGCAGATAGGTCTTCAGGGGCTGACTTCCAGTCACGGTGTCACATAGCTCAGGTCAGGCATAGGCATGTTCATGGTTGTGTTTGCTGTAATATTCCATTCAGGACGTGGTTGGTACAGAGGTGTGCTCTAATTCGAGCTGTGCTTCAGGTGAAAGCTGACACACACCTGTAATACATAACAGCATGTTTCATAACAGCATGAACAAAGACAAATGAACTGCAGTGTACAAAAGTTAACCAGAGGAGAAATCTCCTCTCTCGTGTAGTGTCTTGTTGCTTTTTTTCTTGAGTTTCTGTCTTTTTCTAGTGTTATTTTGGTTGTCATTAGTGTTATTATTGGCTATCACTGGAAGATTAAGAGGCACATCTCTAGTTGATGTTCCAGAAGTAAAAACTGTTAATTTCACCATTTCTCCTGAGAGTGAATATGTGTAGGTGAGCTTTTTTATTTTTTTTTTTCTTGGGGTGTGGGGAGGAGGAGATTAATTCTTCATCTGCCTTAAAGAAATCATTCTTAAAACAGGCAAAAGTGATTTGAGGCTGGTATAGTACCTGGTTTTGCTTATTTGATATTTAAGTAGATGTAAAGTTGACAGTGTCCCTTTAAGACTTTCTTTAAATCACAGGATTTTGCTCAAATCTCTGTTCTCTCTCTTACTTGTTTATGCAACATTATATAGAACCTCAGCTTTATTTTAATTTATTAAAATAAATTAAATTATTAATTTATTTTGCTTTTTTTATTAGTGCTATTCCTAAGCTTGAATTCATTCAAGAAAATAATTGGCTCACTTCCTTTTTAAGCAGGACAAAAGGAACAAGCTGTTGAATGGTATAAGAAAGGAATTGAAGAACTGGAAAAAGGAATAGCTGTCTTAGTAATTGGTCAAGGTAAGCCAGTTTTGAGTTTTGTGGAACTGATTTTGGTTTATGGCCTCTTTGAAGTGAGAAATCAATATTACTAAATATGGTAGGGGCTAGGAGCTGTTGGCTATATGAATTATTTCATAAGGATCTTTCTTATTCCTGATTTTGCTGTAGGTAAACACTGGTCCATTTCTTTGTTCCACCTTAATATTCTGATCTATACCACATGCAAATCTTGCTCCAAATATTTTCAGACTCTGCAAAATCATAAGGAGTTCATGAACACTGTTAAGTAAACACATGATTTCTTATATAATGGGAGTGCCAAAAGACTGAGTTTTGATTTGATTTGCTGAAGTTGACAGTTCATGTTCTCACTTAACGCAGAATTTTGTATTGCCTTCAGTATAATCTAAAAAGAAACCCCTTAATTTGGAATGGCCTGATGTTGTGTTTCTGAATAACTTAGGCCAAAATAACTGAATATTTCCAACAAAGGAAGAAAGCCATCTCTCTGTGTGGAATCATTTTAACCTTTAGTGTAGAAGTAGGTATGTATCATAGAAATACAGGTGTAGTGAAGGACTTGCTGACAATTTCTGTCCTCAAAATAATATTATAATAACAACCCAAATCACCTGCCCCAAACCTAAACCTGTAAGTGTTTTTGCAGACCTTCATTTTGTTCCTCACCTGTGTTTAGAAGCATATGGTGATCTTACTTAGGGGCAATACCAGTGGCATTTGATAGAAGCTGTATAAATTGCACAGTTAAAAAAAAAAGTTGGACTTGAACAGACAACATTTCTTTGGAAGTGGTGGTGTTAATGTCTAATTCTGTGTGTTTTAAAATGTAAAGGGACACAGTCAACTGAATTTAAATCTGTTAATTTTGCCAAAAGGAATTATCTCAAATTGTACTTGCCTCTCAGTCACTTTTCAAGCTTTTTAAAAATCTTTTTTTTTTATTTGATTTCTGTTCAGAGAAATGCAGAGACAAGGGGCATATTAGGCCAGCATGAAATGTTAGACAATATGCAAAGCAGTGTTTGGATTTCCATCACTCTATAAGCACTATTGTAAAGCACATAGTGTCAACTAACTTTAAATTCTTGATTAAATAGGAAGCTTTAGAGTTCTTTTCATTAGTTTTGTAATGAAGTTCCATAGTGGAGAGGATAAATAAGGAGTGGGAGGAGGAAGTTGGAGGGCTGGGTATCAGTATTTTAGTACTTAATTTACCAAATTGTGTTTTAACATGGATTTTTCTTTGTAAGGTGATCAGTGTGAACGGGCTCGACGTCTCCAATCTAAAATGATGACAAATTTGGCAATGGCCAAGGATCGGTTGCAGCTTTTAGGTACCAGTTACAATTCATGACTTTGGAAAGTTTGTAATTATTTGCACAACTTCATTTAATGTATTCTTCTAAAATATTACTTGAATTTTTAAAGTGAAGGAGTCATTATCTTTATAGGGTCTCTTTAGTTTAATTTTTAGTTGATAGTAAGTGCTGTTGATGGATTTTGAAAATGGAATTTCATGACCCACTTTCATGTATAAAAGTAAATGAGAAGTCTTTATATCATAGCACACTTGACTGATAAAATGAGGAAGTCTTGATTAACTCCTGATGGAGTTCATTCAGGATTTTTCTGTTAGTACTGTGGTGAAATTTATGATATATTGCTGATCATGAGTGCCAAGTGTGCTTCCTGTAAGTGTAACTACTTCATAGTCTGTTGATTTTGCTATCACTTACATTAACAATTTTCCTTATTATTGGTAAATGATAATAATAATGATGATAATTTTTTAACATCACATAGACCATAAGGTTATGAAATTCTAATTTTCTTGATTCTTTTCTAGTAGTGTTCTATTTTAAAATTAGAAGGTAAGGTCACCTTTCTCAGAAGGATAGTGTTGTATAGTTTTAGCTTTATTAAAATTAGGTTTTATATATATGCTTTTAACAGAGTAAAGATCCTCCCATCAAACAACAGACCTATAGCTCTGTGTAGTGCATCCTCTAAATTTAAAACTTTGAAAATGCTTTCAGTTCAGTCAGTAAAATTAAAATAAGGATTATGTTTTTAATTGCTCTTTAAAGGTACACTAATAAATGTACTTGATTTTAACTTGCGTATCTCTTGCATATCCTCTCTTGTGTGGAGTTCCACTAACTCATTCTTCTAGGAGCATGTAGAGCCGATGGGAAAACTTGGGCTCTTTTCTACTCTTTATGGTTCTGTGTTCCTAACTGGTGATTGACAGGGAAGTTGAGACAATCCCAAGGAAGTGAGCCCCTTTTGTTTCCCTTGAGTTCCTGATGTCTTTAGTATTTTTTGAAAAAAATTGATGGGGACAGGAGGTGAAGGAGGCATCTGTCTTCTATGCTTTAATATGGGTGGTTTTCGGTACAGTTGTAGTATATGGAGAAAAGGTATTTTCCACTTACTAGGGTTGAAGGCTGACTTCTAGATGTAATATGAACTGGGGAACAATAAAGTGCAAGTGATTACATGCTAACAATCTTGGATAAGGTATGGCTTGTTGCTCACATCCTAATGACAAGTAACTAGAATTTCTTCCTAGAAAAAAATTTGCTGTTTCTCAAAATTTGAAGTAACAGTGTTTGTATTTTGTGGGTAATGCTTCATCCTTGCTTTTATTGCTGTAGTAGTGCTTGAAGTGTTGATAAGTTGCTTACTTGCTGTGATCTGATTGAAAAGAAACAAAGGGTAAAAGTCACAAAAACCCTTAGAGTTGAAGTATATTCATCTCTACTATCAGAATGTGTGATCACATGCTATTTGTTTGCTTCATTCAGAGTGCAGATTGAAAGGTAAACAGATAGAATAGTGTTCCATTATGTTAGTTGGTGTAATGTTTTATTTCATTTTTATTTTTAAATTACCAGTTTAGTACTTTATTCTGCCTAGGTTCTTGTTAATTTTTACTGAGGATGTGCTTCATACAATGAACCTAAAAGTGAAATTTGGATAAAAAGGAGCAAGTGAAGTCGTGTGCCCTTTAGGAACACAAAATATATAGTTTGGAGAGATATTTCAATGGCTTTATATCCCTACAAGTTTGATCATTAGGCTTCTATTTGAGTAATATTTTTATGCCATCTAACCAACTTTGAAGTATTGACAGCATCTTTTTTTATTATTTTTGTTGGTCATTTTATGTGGATTTTATAGAAATTTAAGGTAATCTAGAGTTGAATTCCATGTGCCATTCTAAACACACTCTTAGCCTGTTACTTATAGTAACAGATATTTGGAAGTGTTTGTGTGCTGTAAAGATCCTTTTTTAGTTGAATTAAGTGTGAGGCTCTTGAAGCTATTACAGTTTAATGAAGTGACTTTTCCTATGAATTGAACTCATAAGAATGTTTTTTCCTAGCTTTGTGGAATTTCTCCCTTTCTTAAGTCAGAAAAGGCAATAATAATTTCAGCATTAGCTGAAAGAATAAAACAAACCAGATGATATACCAAATATTTCATCCTGCTTGCTAGATGGAAATGTGATTGCAGAGTGCTTAACTCAAATGCCATCCAGTCAAGCAGGTTACATTGTTAGTACATAGAAAGTGAAAGTTAAATCATGCTGATTATCACTGTCCCTTGAGAAGTGCTCAGTGTTGTTGGGTTTTTGGGGTGTTTCTTTGTTGTTTTTGGATTTTTTTTTAAGGGCTGGTACATTAGTGTAAGTTTGTTGCATGATCCCACTGATGGAGGGACTGGTGAGAGTGTGATGTCTGATCACACCCAGATGTTACCACTGTGTCATCACACCATCACACTATCACACCATTGAGGCCTTTTAATGTTGGAACAGGATGCAGCTACTCACTGTAGATGATGGGTTTTCTACTTTGAGCCCTGTTTTCATCCTGAGTCTAAATTTTGTCTTTTACTCTGTTTAAAGCTGTGACACAGTCTGAAAGCTGAAGTGACTGCTGTGTGTTTCAGGTCACCTCAAGGGGACTTGATCGCTTTGACAGTCCATTGACAATATTGGGTTGTGCTGGCTGTCAGGGGACTTGAAAGTTCTTCATTTGATGTGGTGGTGGCCCCTCATTTTGACATGGTTTAGGATGTGTTAGTTGTGTGTTTAAACCTTGCTTTGGTGGTCTTCATACACTAGGTCTCTCCTGGATGATTGATCACCCATGTTAGAGTAATTAAATTTGATGCATTTAGAGTGACAGGAGGGTATTTGTTTTCTACAGTCGATACACAGAACTTGGCAGCTTGTTGTTCCTATGGCATAGTGATGTAGTGATGGCTGTAGTGGCCAGTGCAACACTACTAAGTTTTAATGCTATTTATGTATTTTACCTATCTGTGTTCTCTCACTTCAGAGAGACCTTCTGTAGGGGCACAGATTTCTGTCATGAGAAGTGCCTTCTTGTGTATATAGCATAGCTTCAGTATTTTGGTTGAAGGATATATGTGACACATAATTCAAATATCTGTCATCAGTATCCTCTTTGGAAGGTATTAATATTCCTATATTCTGCCTGTATAGATATGGTCTTCAGTGGACACCTTCTGGAATATTTCACTATCTTGGAGGAGATGGTGCTTTTTGCTTTAGGCTTATGTTACAGGGTAGCATTATTTTACTAGAAATTAGTTTCTTGAACTCAAGCTATAGTGTTGCCTAAATAAGGCAGTGGCTGCAGTGCTGTTTGTTTGGTAGGTTTATGTCAGCATTGTATCATCAGTGATATCAATGAAATATTGAATGAGAATCTGTAAACTTTGTCAGTGTCTAGAAAAATAGGGAGGAAGCATTTAAGTGGAAGATGATGGTATCCTATAATTCCCTGGAATAATATTTAAATGCTCAATTTAATTTATTTTTGATATTCCAGAGGATCCTACAGCTATACTATCCCTAAGGAAAGGTGGTATTTTGAAATTTTTTCATATTTTGAAAGATTTGAAATTTTATGTGCAATACTAAAATGACATGTCAATAGGTAATGTGATGAGAGGACTCTGGATTGAAACTGGACAGCAGTTGGATTATATTTTTTCTTTTTTCTTTGGTTGTAGTTCTGGAGCTCCTGAATATGTGAAACTAGCTGAAGATTGATAATTGTGGTAGAACCCCAGTGTCAAATTGTAGCATTGAAGCAAACAGCATTTCCTGTACAAGCCAATTGATGTTATTATGGTCACTCACTAGAAAGTCATTTTTGTTAAGCTTAGAAATGTTCTCCAAAACTCATCTGATTATCTAATGCCTTAAAAGTCTATTAATACTAATTTTGTTTCCTAAGCTTCCTGTATGTTCTTTCCATTTGGGTTGCATGCGCTGGGCAGGGAGCAGACCATTCTGCTGCCTCCTTTGGTAGTGCTGTGTCCACTAGAGCAGTACACTCTCTGCAGGCAGTCATACTAAAAGGACTTTGCTTACCCTTCTGGAGAGGAAAGCTTATGAGAGTAACTTCTTGGAAGTTGTAGAGCTTGTGGTTGTTCATAGGCTGTTTGTGTATGACTGACATTTTTTTGTTTGACTCTTCAAAGCTTTCAATATAAAATGAAGTAAACCTTGTGTACATGTACTAATCTTGAACCTTAGCTTTTCGTATTTGCCCATGACTACCAAGTTTCCATTCTAAACCATATTTTGTTCAAGCTAAATGTTACTAAGCCATCACTTTAACTATGAGGTGTAAAGATACTATTCAGGAAATCTTAGCTGTGAGTGATCAGGAGCAGGAAGAGGAGGAAAGGAACAAAGCAGAAAGGTTAGAGAAAGGTCTGTAACAGGTAAAGAAGCCTAAGGAAGTGCTCGTGCTTGTTGGTTGTGCCATCTGCAGGCTGTGAATGCAGGCACTTCTTCCAGCCAGGTTATTTATGATCTTGATTGTGTACATTTTCAGTGGAATTTGTCTGCCTTTGCAATATATGCTTTCATATTACCAGAGGACATTGCTTCTCTACTTGGCATCTCCTTTCTTCTAGCTTCTTGGTAGTGTTGTCTCTTGTGGGGGGTAGCAGAAGGAAGAAAAACAGGAGGGAGTGAGAGAGCTTGATAGTGTATATGCCTTGCATCCTTATGGACCGTGGTTGGTTTTTAAAACAGGAGGAGTGTGTGTGAAACAAAGGTGGGAGAGGGAGTAAAGGGCCCAAAACGTACAGCCTAGAGGTTTTTAAGTGCAGTGGTAAAAGCCAGAGTGGTAGCTGGACTATAGAGAACAAGTCGTCCTTAACTTTTCTTTTGTGTTGGTAGCCTTACACCTCTTTGACTTACGGTTAGGCTGTTTTTCATTACTTCTTAATTTCCTTCTCCTTAATCTTTAGCTTTATAAATATTGTATTCAATATTTACGTGATGTTTCTGAACTTAATCTTCCTAAAGAAGACAATTTGCATGACAACTTTATTGACTTCATTTCAAGGCAATTAAATATATAAATAGAGATCTCAAAAGACATTATTGTAATGTGTATATGGTGTTCTGCTGGAAGTTTGAAGGTTTCTGTAAAATGCTACTACTGGCTGTTACTACTTAAGTGGAACATTTATTGTGCAGAGAAGTGAGGACTTCTTGCACCTGGTCAAAAGTAACACCTTGAGGAGGACTTCCAAAATGTGTTATAAGCATAAATATTTATTAAATTAAATTGAGTTAATCCTGAACATTGTTTTTGAGAGGTACCTGCAATCACTAGACCGGAAAGATTATTGTAATTAACTCAGCCATAAAGGATGAGTTTTAAAGCTATTTTCAGTCATGCTCATACTAACAGAATTTTTTTACACACTTGCTGAATGTATAGAATAGATAGAAATATTCCTTTTATCTTTAACTATAACAAAGCCAAACTTGACATTTCTGTGTTCAACATACATAAATTTTCTTGGTTCATTTTTTGTTTTTGTTTGTTTATTTTGTCCTTTTTCCTCCCTCCCCCTCTGTTCTACTATGTAGAGAAGCTGCAGGCAGTTTTGCAAATTTCCAAGCCGCAAATGGAGGTCTATAATGACAGTACTAACCTGGCATGCCGCAATGGACATCTCCAGTCAGGTGGGTTTGGTTTTACCAGCACCTATTGAGGGGATGTCTCTCAGTTCCTGGTGTATTACAAGGCAAAATAATGCAATGCTATATTCTGGCCCCACCAGCTTTAAAATAAAATGATTTATATTTCTGTTTTTAAAGGCTTTGTATAAAATACATTCCATCCTTTCCATGGCTTTGACAACACTGTTTTATTTTGTAGTATTCAGTTTTCTCTTGCAATGACTGTCCTAGAATCCAAATCTATTTACTAAGGCAACACTTTAGAAAATATTTCTTACGTAATATTCTTCAAGGAATTACATTAAACCTGTTATAGAAAGTGTCAGTGTTGGATATATAGGTTATATGTTGTACCTCTGTTAATTAGCTCTTCCTTTATGATACTGTGAATATCCATTAAGCAATTTTGAATTTCAGGGGGTTTTTACATCAAGAAAGTGATGCTCAATCGAAATGAGGGGGGAATGACAGCAGCTCTTGCATTTTGTCAAAGAACATTATTTTAATCCTTTCCCAGAAGACTGAGACAAACTTACTAAAATAGCACTAAAATAATAAACAGTAATTTTTGTTCATAAACGAGGTGTAAAGTTGTGGAAGTCTGAGAATTACCCAAAGTAAATGTTTGCAGCTGTGGAATCCCTGATACAGTACCATGAAAGTCAGGGTATTAACAGGCATCTGGATTTCTTAAATGGCTGGTGCCTGTGCTCTTGTGCTTGCTTTTTCTATCTTTTTGGGGTGTGGGGTGAGGGAGACTTTTTTGTAAGAACATACTAGTAATACACCCTTTTCTTAAAAGCATTGTAAAAAGGTGGTTATGCTTCAATCTGCTAATCATCTTGCTGCTGTTCTTCCTTTATACATGTAAAGCAGTATTTTCATATGGATAGCTCTAATAATTTAAAAACACAAAGGAAATGACAGAATTTCTTAGAAAGCTACAAAATCAGTTTTCAGGCTACTTCAGATAAGAGAACTGTTATCTCTACCTGAGAAGGTAGAGGTTCTTCAGAGGTACTGAGCCACAGGGCTCTGGCATAAGCTTAGCTTAGTCTGTGGACAGTTTTACCTGCCCTGTTGCCTAATCAGGTTGGGCTTTTTAAAAGTTCTGGATTTTATGATATATGAAACATGGTCATTCTTAGTTTTAACATAGTGTCTTTTTGCCCATCATTTGGTCTAAAATTACATGGCTTGCTTTTATTTGCCTTTAAAGGCCAAAGTCTCTACAGATGTTTTTGCTTTATCATTTTGTGTAAGATTCTGTTCTCACTGCTATGCTGTATGCTTTTTGTATTCCAAAGTGTTACTGCTTCGAGATTCTTTGTTCTCTCAATATAGTATTTGTGTCAGCCTTTATGACCAATTTACTTGATTCTAATGCAAATGAATACCTATCCCTGTCTTCAGCATTTGTGGTTTCCAAACTTTCATGAATAGCTAGAGATTTTTCTTGAAACATCTTCCAGATTCATACTGAGGTTTTTCAAGGCCTCATAGCAGTACTGTCACCTGCCTTTCAGTTGCAGAGGGCTATGCAGTAACTTGTCTAAAGAGCAGTAACAAGTAGCTTTGACCCAAACGTTTACTTGGAAATAATATTAAATTAATATTCATCATTCTTCTTCTCATAGCAGTCTTAAATTAGATTTAAACGACTTACCTATATTTTTTCCCCTCAAAGATGCTTGTTTTCCTTTCTACTGTGGATTGTTGTTTTCTTTTTTTTTTTTTAAACTAGGGAAGGAGATTATAGCAGTCTTGCCAAAGGCAGAGTTTGAGTTTTATGAACTCATTTAGTAGTCATACAATACTTAGAGTATTATAATTCCAGTGTATACCATTTTACATGTACATCTCAGCATGATGGATGGCCAGAGAAAGCATTACATTTCTGTTACCTCAACGTGAATACTGTGCAGCTAGCTAGTATTTTATCTCAGTTTTCACATGGAGGGAGTTGCTGGCCTGTCTTTAATAGTAGGCATATATTGGCAATGTTTGTCATGGTGCAAAAATTCTATTTTCAATACTGAACTTTTCAAAGGAGCTCCCCAAGTAGAAGAACAGGTAGCAATAAGATCGTTTTTAACAGCATAATTTGACAAAAGCAGATCTCTGGCTGGTGTGGCTGGGTCAGTTGAGAAAGGAGAGCAGCTGTGATTTCTGGCTTGTATAGCTGTGCTACCATTGAAAACATGCAGCATGTCCTTCTTAGTTGCTGGAGCTTTCTCTTAAGTAGCTTTTATTACTTGCATCTACCTATTTGAAAAATCTGAATTGTATCTTTGAAGAATTGCAATTTTGGGGGCTATTGTGAATGCTGATCCTGCATAATGACCAGTCTTGAAATTGCTACAAGTTTAAAGCAACAATTTAAAGTTTTTTGGTTTTTTTTGGTTTTTAAAATGAAACTACATACATAAAGACAATTTTAGACTGGTGGATTTTTCTTCCAACTTGGTGTCCAGAGACCATGTACAATAACTTGTTTTAGTCCCTTTATATTACTTATCAATAGGCATATGTAGGGAATTTCTGAGGAATATTCCCTGATGATTTTTAAGATGGCACAACTAAAGGCTGGAAATTGTTCTGCGGTACTGGAATTGCTGCTGTTAATTTGAATTTAGACTTTCTTTTGGATGCTTAAGAAGTTAGAGACTAGTAGAAGCGATTTTATTGACATGTGCTTTAATCTGGTTTAAATGCAGAAAAGAAACTGGGTTTGCTTTTTAGAAATATAAAGGATGTTATTATATTAAATAAATGAGCTACCGCTGCATAATTTTGTTTTTGCATTTCCAGGTATTTAATATAATCAAGCTTCTCTTAGATTTATTCAAATGTATTTGTACTTTGTCTTTATTTAATAAGTATCCATATTAGAGAATATACACTTTTAACGTTTCTCTCTGTAAAGGAGTCAGAAATTGGGCACCTGTGTCTGCAGTTTATCACACTTTAACCAAGAGAAAACCCCAGACAAAACTTTGCTACTTGCTTGTTTGTAATTTGTGTTGTGTGTGTATTTGGATGGCTGATTAAAATTATAGGGATGCTTTCAGGACCAGACAGCTATTATGTCTATGTAATCCAGTGGTGTTAGCCTGGAGCTATAAAGTAAATTATTCTGTCCAGAATTAGAGAGTAAAATCAAACAGATAAAACATCTATTATTATCCTGTAAGTATATATGAAGCAGACAGTTGAACTGTTCAGTGTTTCAGATACAGTTGAAAAAATTCCATGGTGTCTCTTTGTGATTAGAATATGTTTTAGGTATTTTCTTATTGTTTTAAACAGAACAGTGAAACATTTGGCAAAAGGCTGCTGGAGATATTGTGAAGGCTTTATTAAATAATTTGCTATGTATTTCCAGTCTTTCGGTAGATAACAAATAAAAGTGAGTAAGAAATGTGTTTGGGGGTTTTGCATTTGTTATGGCAAGATGTTTATCTTGTATAATGGAGTGGTAGGAGCTATCTGACATATGTGATGTTAACTAAAATACCTTATGCTTTAGAAATAGATAAACTTTAGATAAACTGTAATTCTGAACAATTTGATAACATTTTTATTTGTTACTTCAATGAAAATTTGTATTAAAAATGAAGCTTCCCTCTGGAATTGATATTCAACAAACAACTACGTTCATGAGCTCTTCACCAGTGCCTCTTTATGTGCTACCCATCAGGACTGACAACGAAACTCGGAAACTTACCAGTCTTGAGTCCTGGAGGTGCAGTTAGACTAAATCATAATTTGTATTAAACCTTGTTTCTTTTCCTTTCTTTCCTTCCTTCTGATTTCAGCGTCCTGAAATGCTCCTTACCTGTGCAATTTTATGATCCTCAAAATTGCAGTATCTGTGTATTGTTCTCAATGTGTGGGAGTAGTTCTGGGAGAGTGAGATAATTGAGCAGCATGTTAAGGTGAAGGACATGGAGAAAATCTAATTTAGGTTTTTGAAGCCTTCCCATGTTGACTTCAAGCCAGGTGTGCAAATGAGGTTGAGGCAGGCTAAAAAAAACCCAACCAAACTGAGTGCCACCTTTTGATTAAACTGGACTCAGTCAAAGTGCTGAGTAGCTAGATGTGTTAATAGATTCATATACTGCTTTTTGAACTTGAAAGTTGCTAAGTATGCCTAATTTTAAAGAGTTTTTGACTTGGAAATTCCTGTGCAGGAATGACTAAGTAAATGTATCCAGGTCTGGAGTTGTGTGTGATTTAGTCAGTAACCAGTTTTGGTGTGGTTTTTTTGTTTGGTTTTTTTGGGTGGTTTTTTTTTTGTTTGTGTGTGTTTGTTTGTTTTGTGGGGGGGGTTTGTTTGGTTTTTTGTTGTTTGGTTTTGTTTTGTTATTTTGTTTTGATTGTTTGTTGATTTGTTTTCAACAAGCAAGATACTGCAGGTAAATATGCTTAATTATATTCTTCAAGTTGCCTTGTTTCTTACATATTGATACATCTGCATTGTGCTTTGTGACTCCTGCAGAGTTTCTGTAACTCTAAAAAGGGGTAGATTTGTGACTGAAGAAGGGCTTCAGAAACTTTTTCACTGAATTGTTAAGGATACTTGCAGACCATTTAGAGATTCGGTCCTAGTAGTATGTTTAAAGAGGCTGAGAATGTAGGATTAATTAATTGATCCTTCCATGATGCTGTTTGACTGAAGTGTTGAGTTTTTTAAACTAAACATTTAAAATTGAGGCTTTTTACTTAAAGTATTTTTCATTGAACTGCAGTGTTGTAAGTTCAAAATTCTTCATAGAGTCATGAATTTTCTTAAAAATCAAACTTCTTTTCCTTAAGACCTAGCACGTCAAATTGAGTTGAAGGTTTCTACAATCTTAGTGAAGACACTTGTAGCTGAAATCTATTTTGAGCTTCCTTACCTTTGATGCCCTATTTCTCTTGCCTAATCAAAAGACTCCTTAAGCCTTTTAAGAGGATATAAAATTAGACAGTATTTATAGTTTCCATCACAGACAACAGTACTGTACTAGACAGTTTCCAGGAGTATATTCCCACCACAAAAAAATACCTAATCTAAAGCTATGCTCTAATTATTAACCAGCCTGACCAACTTGCCTGCTTGCTGTATCACCTTCTTACCTCTTAATCTCTGATTAGATGTTTTACACTTGCCATTTCTGTGCCAAGGAACTTTATTTTATCATATATCCCATATGGAGAACATAGACATCAAGCTCTATTTTGTTTACTGTGGACCAAAATGGCTTTTTGTAGTTTGATGACCTGTGGCCAGTATTTCAAGTTTATCTGTCACCTAATTTGAGACTTTCCTGCTTCACCTTGGAGGTGAATAAGTAATGTGAATGGAATGTCTGGTGATGTTTAAATATATTTTAAGCCTTACTTTTTAATGTAGGAAGGTAAGCTGCTTCAGAGTTGTCCATGCAGAATTTCCTTACACCTAAAGATTCCTAAAGTGAAAGCAAGTTGAAAGAAAAAGCACCTGACAGTCACTTGCAAGTATAACTACTGCTGTAATTTTTCCAGATTAAAATGCTTTGGTAAAGCTTCTGTGTGGAAGGTGCTGGATAATGTTAGCTGGCATCACTTAAAGAATCAATACTCTGAATCCAAAGGCTTGAAATTTGGGAGTTATTGTAATGATTGTTTTTAAGAGTTTTTGGGAAAGAAGACCACAGACCACAAGCCAGAAGGCTTTGCATCATCTCTGACTTTCTAAGATGGCTAACTCGGGTTCATTTTGAGAGTTCCTAAAAATCAGAATTTTGACTGTAGGTGAAAGCAGCAGTCAATATCCCCTTGAAAACACTAAACCTCTTTAGAAATGTCTATTATTCTTCTATAATGCAGTATTACATGTTTCAACAATTCTGTCTTCTAGTTGCAGTTAACTTCTAGTTAATGGTAAAAGCACGACTGCTGCAAATGTTCTCATGGCACTGGTTTTCTTTATAGAGAGTGGAGCAGTTCCAAAAAAGAAGGACCCCCTAACCCACACGAGTAATTCCCTTCCTCGTTCAAAGACTGTTGCAAAAGCTGGATCCACAGGCCTTTCAGGTCACCACAGAACACCCAGCTACAGTGGGGTATCATCATCTGTGTCTAGACCAGCACCTAATCCTACGCCTTCAGCTCACAAGGTATAGTGAGGATAAATATGGAAGTATACGCTTGAAAAATCTTGGATTTTAATGCCTTAATTGCAGTTTGTAGCAGCAGAAAGTTTTGTGAAAAAAACTGAAACTCCAGATTTTTTAGCTGGGCCTCTTGAGGTATGCTGCAGAGTGCATTTTAGAAATGGGAGGACATCAGGTGGGTGCATGGGCAAAAGGATTTTAAGTATGATCACAGTAATAAATAATACTTGTTTTTAAAATCGCATGGGAAGCTGAGTGAAAGTTACCTAGAAGAAAAATAACTGTTACTTCTAGTATGTAAAGGATGGACTGAAAAATCTCTTACTCCAGAACTACAATATTTTTCCCCCTATGTGTTCTTCTCTTCCAAGAGAAGAACATACATGCTCAGGTTGTTTTGCAACCACATTGAAAAGCAAATTATGGTTAGGCTGGGACTGAAACACAGAAGTAAGTCCTATAGTAAGAATACAGAAAAATACTGCATTTCTGTTGACCCATGTTTTTCCCTTCCATCCTTTTTATCCAGTAAAGTAGAATAAAGAGCAGAATAGACTAAACATTACTGTTCTGTTAAAACACTGCTGCTGTAATATTAAATGAAAACTTTAAAATTACCTTTTACCAAGTATGACAGCATTTGGAATTCTTGCTTATCTGTATTGAGAACCTAAGATGGTTTGTGATGCTTATTTCTAGACTGACTCGATCTTCTCGAGTGTGGCCCGGCTAGCTCAGTGATGAGGTTTCTCTTCACTCGAGTTTCGAGCCAGCATATGTTTGTGGGGTTCACCGATTTTCTTCAAGAATCCAAGTCTATAGAGCGAGTAAAGAAATCAGGGGGGGACTCTCTCTCTGGTTTGCATTCCACAGTTTATTTCTGTGAAGGGGAATCCAAAGGACGAGAGACAAAGGATTTGGGGTTTGGGGGGTCTCTTCTAACAGGGTTTCTCGGAGGGAGGGAACATCAGAGAGGGAACCAATTATTTTTCTCAGTTAGTGCATCTTACAAACTTTCTACAAATCAAGGTTACACACGCCAAGATAAAAAATAACAGACACTAACTTCTTCAAATGCCCACAAAGGTGTGGGAGTATTCTATACAGAGGGGCAGAGGGGGAGAGAGGGGGGGCCTGGTTTCCTGGCAACACAGGGGGGAAAGAAAGGGAAGGCAAGGTAAGCATGCCCTCTCAGCTTCCATAGTTTAGAGGCATTCTGGGACAGGAAAAAGTTACAAACTTCCGTGTAGGAAAGAAGAGTTGTCTTCTCCCAACCCCGTGCTAAACGGGGCTAAAGAAACTTCAAGCAGCTGGAAATGCCAGCGGGGTCCTCTCTTTACTCTATCCGGCCTCTCGCCGTGGGGCTGAGGAGAGAAACTTTAGTAACCATGGGAACTTGACGCCAGGTAAACAGGAGAAAGAGAAGCTGGGGGGGAATCACAACTAAAAGATGGGAAAAGATACATTTCAGGCTATCAACTACAACACTAGACAATGCTGGGGGGAAATACTGTAGTTAAATAAATGAGTTATCATACAAAAAAACCTCAAATCAAAGACCCTTCACCACTGGAGCTTAAGATACTCTTATTTGTGGCTGACTAATATGGTAATACAATTTGTAGCAAAATACAGCGTTAGAATATTGGATATTTGTTAACATGCTGTTTTACTGAAACATATGAAATGTAGATCTTATTTTGTTTAACACTACTCTTTCAAAGTATTGATCTGGGGTTTTTTTGGGGTTTTTTCTTCCCCTCTCTCCAGGCTGCTCCTAAAAATAGCAGAACATATAAACCTTCTACCCCTACAACTGCTCCTCGAAAAAAGAAAGACACTAAGATATTTAGAAATGTGGACAGCAATCTTGCTAATCTTATCCTAAATGAAGTTGTTGATAGGTAAGTATGAAGAAAAGTAGGCTTTTCAGTCCAGTAAATCAGTTTAGCATTCAGTACAATCTTGGACCACTTGGAATGAAATGAATACTTCTACTTTGTTGGGTTTTTTTGAGGATTTTTTGGATGGCAAAAGGATGTTTTAAAATACTTAAGAATATAAATTGTTGATTTTCTCAAAAGGGTTCTGTATAAATAGTCAAATGCATTAAAATAGTCAGCTGCAGCTGAAAAAGAGTATCTCATTGTTAGACTAATTAGTATTCCATTTCTTTGTTAGTGGGCCAGCTGTCAAATTTGATGATATCGCAGGGCAGGAACTGGCTAAACAAGCTTTGCAAGAAATTGTTATCCTTCCTTCTCTTCGACCTGAGGTAAGTAACTCGGTATTGTTATCAATCTGTGACAGGATCAAAGAAATGTGCTGTGGCTCACAGATGAAATGATGATTCTTTAATCCTGTTTTTACTGATTGTGATTGTGATGGGTAGCTGTAGGGTCCTAACCATCTTGGAAAAGGAGAATATAGGATTCCTATATATGAAATTCCTTGTCTTCCATTTAATCAATGTTGCAGCAAGAAAAAAAAAGAAACCCTGAAAAAACCCAAACCCGAATCAAATCAGCAACCTGCAAACCCCTAAAAAAAAACAACCAAAAAACCACAACACCCCCACAACCCTATAAAACAAACAAACAGCAAAAGCAAACAAACAGAATTTCTCACTGTTTGTCAGGCTGTCTGTTCCAGATAGCTATAGCTGTGTGTCCAGCTCTATATGGCCATAGGTAAAGGACAAACCCACAACTGGAAGAGTGAAGTGGGAGATGTGTATTGGTAAGTTAGGTCATGACACTATCTGATTTGAAGAACATTATTGTTACCGTGGTCATCCTCTCTGTGAGGATATTGTTTAAACACTGAATAGTTTATTTACTGATGGAGAGGATGCAAAGAGTGTAGTCAACAAACAAATACACTGAGATATGTGACATTTGAGGGCAGATTTTCTCTTTACCTGGCTGTATGGAAGTTGATCATTTATGCTTTTATTTATCATAGTTGGCACCTCAACTGCTGTGACTGCCTAGATTCCGGCCTTGTCTGCATACTACTGGAATTTTCTGAGCTACTTTTAGGAAAAAAAATGCATTGGTCATTTTCTAAAGCTGAATTTACTAAGAGTTGCAGTACTTCTGAGGAAATTGTGTGCAATGATTTCCTGCAGTGCTCTCATGAGAGCCCACCTAACTGTGTCCAGTTCTGGGGTCCCCAGCACAGGAACCTGTTGGAGCAAGTCCAGAGGAGGAACTGCTAGATGATCAGAGGGCTGGAACACCTCTCTTGTAAGGAAAGGGTGAGAATTTGGGTTGTTAAGCCTGGAGAAGAGAGGGCTTCAGGCTGACCTTAATTACATTATTTCAGTACCTAAAGGAGACCTAAAAGAAAACTGGTGAGGAACTGTTTACAATGGCAGGTAGTGACAGAACAAGGGAAAACTACTTCAAACTGAGAGTAGGTTTAGATTTGTATATTAGGAAGAAATTATTCATTGTGAGGATGATGAGACACTTAAACAGGTTGCCTAGAGAAATTGTGGATACCTCATCCTGTAGTTATCCAAAGCCAGATTGGAAGGGACTTTGAGCAGTGTGGTCTAATGGAAAATGTCCCTGCCCACTACAGGGAAGTTGGAAGTAGATAATCTTCAAAGTCCCTTCCAATCCAGGCCACTTTATAATTCTGTGATTATTGAAGAAAAATTGCTGTTTGCATTTTCTGTTTTTTGTGGGTCCCATTTGTTACATAGACAGGTGACTGAAATTGCTTTGTGGTTTTCCCCTTAATGCTTAACTGGTTTTGAAGCAGCATAGGAAAGACACCCTAAACCTGGCATAGCATCACAGAAATATGAGTTGAAAGGAGAAAAAAACTTTGGCAACAAATATGTGTGCTCAGATACTGTTATGCAGAAGGAAGATGTCATTATAGCATCTCTGTTACTACAGTGCAGTAGTCTGTCAAGTGTGTTGTTCAGTGACACCAATACTGTGAGCTGGGTGGGAAGGACTTTGAGATGGGAGGCTTGGAGTAGCTTTTCCAGTACTGTGGTATCTTGGATAAAGTTGTTTCATATTACTGTAGCTAGCAATGGGCCTGACCTTGGTGTAGGTTGAGATGAAATAAAGGCAGGGAATCACATAAATTTTTAAACTTTCCTTGGAAGTAGAGAGGGTTGGTTTTATTCTTTGTAAATGAACACAGTAGACATGGCAACTATAGGGGGATACTTAGTAAATTAACACTAGTTCAGTTTTAATCTTAATGAGTTTTGAACTCAAATTCATATTTACCAAGCCAGTGGTATTTTTTGTAGGAGAGCAAAAGTTGAGGTACATAAGCAGGAAATATTGGCTGCAACCATTTCAGTGGTAAGCTGGTAATGAAATGCTAGCAGTTAATTCCGACCATGTTCAGTATAATTAGTCTGTTAAGAAAAGCTTTGTGTATCTCAGTAATAAATATAAGTGCAGCTGAATTGTAGGTGATGATCAAGGTGAGGAGGAGTTACAGATTTGATCTGGGCTATGTGAAAATGGTGGAACTCCCCAAAAATTATTTCAAACAAAAGAAGTCAGACAAAAAATGCACATGGTGGTATGCAGCATAGAAAACAGAAACACTGGAGTGTTCACTCAATGAATAGCTGGGTAGCTACTTTTAGGGGTCAGAGTCAAGCACAAACAAAATGCTGTAGATGATGAAATAATAGAGAAAACACATGTTGGTCAGTCATGGCAGAAATAAAACACTGGTAATGGAGCTATTCGTTGTCATGGATATTGTGGAAAGAAATGCCTGCCGACAGTGCTCTTTACACATGGGATGTATGTGAGATACCCTCCTGCTTGGTTATTGGAATTTTATTGCAAGCTGGAAGGGAGGGGTGAGTGTGAGACCAAAAGAGATACTCTGAAACTTTTGAGGGAAGGGATAAAGACGAAGTGCTAGAGAAAAAAGGCAAGAGTAATAACTAAAAGTTAGGTATTCTCTGAGAATTTGTAGACTTGCTACGTATGATGTGCACAATTTTATAGACTAGGAAAGATGAATCTAGTTGAAAGTGAGAGAGAGGAGATGACTATCAGTAGCATAGAGAGAGTAGGTGTTTATTAAGTAATACTTCAAATAATTTTGTTGAAAGCTTGTCTTCTCAAGTTTCATTTCATAAGGAAAGATAAAGGAGTTCTTCCATATGGAATTAGTAAAAACACTGCTTTAGCTCTCCTACTGTACACCTGCATTACTTTTTTTTTAACTGGAATTGATGCTTTAAACTTGATAGGCTAGTGTGTCTTGTGGAAAGTGTTTTAAACTGCTTTCACAGTGCATCCAGGCACAGAACAATTACAACATAATTTAGCTGCTGTGTGGGAAACAATAGTGGTGTGCATTAGGTCAAGTTAGTGACAGTGTAGTTCTCTCAAAGCCTGTAGTGTTGTGGCACTCACTGCTACCGTTCCTATCAGTGCTAGCCAGCGTCCTCAGTCTTAAACCATTCTCTTACAAAGGTAAAGTAACATTTTATTCAAGTCTTTGATGGTAACTTACGATGATGTCCTTTTCAGTTATTTACAGGTCTGAGAGCTCCCGCACGTGGTTTATTGCTGTTTGGCCCGCCAGGAAATGGGAAGACAATGTTGGTGAGAAAATTACTTCATGATGAGTTGGTGGGCTTAAAATGTAACCACAGGGGGTGGCTTTCAGTTTGGGGCTTGGACTAATAAACTGTACATTCTTAGAGACTGTGTATTAGAGAGTCATTTTATATATAAAAACACAAAATTGTTCTTAACTCTGAATTTTATGGAGGGAATTGCTAAACTGTTCTCTCTTTAATTATTTTCATTATGACAAGTAATATTTTAAAACTTAAACCAGCAAGTCCAGGTTTCATTTTCATTGAGAGCAAAAGGAAGTGGGTTAATTGTTTTGTACAGCAGTGATTAATCAGAAATTATCTGCTTTATATGAAGCATACTAGAAGTACCTTTTGGAAATGGGGAGGGAGCACAGTATCAAAGAAAAGGGTTGTCTCACTTGCACACTGCTGTGCAAAGAATGTAAGGGCTTCCTAGCTGCAACTTTTTTCTCAGCCTGGTGTGCTAGATCCAGGGAACTGGAGCGCCATGGCTGTGCATCAGCCAGGGAGCATCGAGTGTCCTGATGCAGCTGAGCCGGGCACATCGTCCTGATCACATGGTGTGGCTGCAGCTGCACACTCTGCTGACACTGGAGCTGGATCAGCTCTGAAGTGCACGAGTGTGAATGTAGAGTAGCTCATGTAGGCTCATCTGTTATGTGTGACATACTGGAATATAATTGCTAATCACTAAAATTGGACTCTATAACCAGGGAATCATAATTTCTTGAATGTGGTGAAACTGTTAAAGAAGAGGGTACTCTGAATGAGCATTCCAGCTGATTATTTTCCCTAGCTTTCCTCTGAAAACAGCTTTTGCATAGATGAAGGAGGAGAAAAAACACCATAATTTTTATGTGATTTGATCCAACTGATGCCTTAAATTACCGCCCTAAGTTAGTTAAAATTGGCTTAAATGTCCATTCAGGATAAATTGAAAGGAAATGGAGACTTTTATTCTTCTGAAAGCAAGTTGTAGTTGGCTATGGAGCCAATAGGATTAGAGAAGTCTATGGGAGTCTGGAAATTTCTCTATCGGTTTGATTGCATAGCCATTCTCATTTGTAAGTGGCCTGGGCAGAAGTTTTCCATACCATTTTTACAAGGTGCTCCCTTTCAAAACTATCCATCAGGACATGAGTAGTCATTACAGATGCAGAGAACTATCTTCAACATGATAGTTCTTAAAAGTACTTTGGTTTTTCCCCCTTTCCTAGGCCAAAGCAGTTGCTGCAGAATCAAATGCTACTTTCTTTAACATCAGCGCAGCGAGCCTGACTTCAAAATATGTAAGTAGTAGCTGGAAAATACAATGATTTGAAAACACCCATGCTTTGATTAAGGCTTAAGAAAGCCAGAGACTTCTGAGGAGTCCTTGGTGAACTGATAGCCTATAATGAACGTAGTTTTTAAAAAGTGACTTGTGAACTAAAATTTTTGTTTTGTATTTGTGATAAGTCAATATCAAAGGTTTTTTCAGCTCAGCAGTGGCTCTGGCAGTAATGCAGATGACTGGTTGTAGGGTTTTTCATCTTTAAAAATTGAATTAGTTGGGTCCCAGGTCTCTTTCACTCTGGTAATTTAGTCACCAAAAAATCTCTTGACAGTTAACTCAGTTGTGAATTGTAAGAGAAGTTACAGTGTTTCTTTTAGGATGTAAACAGTACGGTTGTATCTACTGAAGCAGTGATAGTCTGAATATGTATAAATGGACTGAGTGTGGTTGGTTACCAGCAGGATTTTCTGTAGGTTCTTCCGTTAGCTGTCTTGTAAAAATTTTTAACCCCCTATAAAATCAGTTTATTGTTATTTTAGGTGGGTGAAGGAGAGAAACTGGTGCGTGCTCTATTTGCAGTAGCCCGAGAACTTCAACCTTCTATAATTTTTATTGGTAAGACCTTAGGTGTTAACTTTTATTTACTTTCTTAAATAATCTTACTTACCAAAGATTAGTAAGTAATTAACTATTGGAATAGTTGGGTAAACTTCTTTTGAGAATTCTGCAGCTCGGGACAACTGTGTCAGATATGACCTGCCAGCCAATCAGTAGTTCATAAAAAGAATGTTGGATCATTGTTACATTATTTAGTTGGTGGTAATAATGGGAAGAGGTCTCAAAAAGAAAAATACTGTACTGCCTTCACTGATTAAGTCCATTAAACTTCAAACATGAAAATGTATTTTGGTTGTCCTGAGTAGCAATTTGTCATCAGAAAGACTTTTTTTCTTCTACTTTTTTTCTTCTTTTTTCCTTCTTCTTTTTTTTCCTTCTTCTTTTTTTCCATCTTCTTCTTTTTCCTTCTTTTTTTTTCCTGCTTTTTTTTTCTCCTTTTTTTTTTTTTTTTCCCCTCTAATCTGTGCTGGGCCTTACCTATTCAAAGGCCAACACATCACGCAAGTTTTTAAACTGCTAAAAACTGTCTCCTAAAGAATAATGATCTGGTCTTTTAATGGAGCCCTATATTAGCAAAGGAGCTTAGGCAAATACAAAGACTTTGATGTTGTATGTTTAATTAAGATGTATTTCTTTGCTTCTTAGATGAAGTTGATAGCCTTTTGTGTGAAAGACGAGAAGGTGAACATGATGCTAGCAGGCGTCTAAAAACAGAATTTTTAATAGAATTTGATGGTGTAAGTATTTAATCTTGGTGTGGTTTGATTTAGCTAAATTGGCTAATGTAGTGGGTGCCAGTACAACCTATAGGTGAATTACAAAGGGTTTGGCTGCTGGGGCTTAGCTCAGTCTCCCTCCCACCTCACCAAAATTGGCAAACAGCTTTTTTTGGTGGTTCTTAATTTTCTGCCTGCTTACTGTGTTATTCTTTATTCTGGAAGTTTGGACTACAAAGTAACGATCTGGAGATGAGCTTTAATGCTGTGTTGTAAGATTATGGACAGAAAAGAAAGGATAACAGATGGCAGTAGTAAAGGAGCTGTGAAGACAACTGTTCTTACAGGGCAAGAGGGATATTTGAGGGTCATGGAGAGTTGAATCCGTGTTTGCAGTTGCATGGCTTAATGAATCACTTCTCTTTATTCTGGCAAAGCAAAACAAGATTAAATGGCTTTTAAATAGTTTTTGGTTTCAAAGGAACGTGTCACAAGAATACACTGTCAAGGGGTGAGACTTGACGGATGAGAATTTCAAACAGACTAGTTTGGATTACATATATACATATACATACATATATATATAGGTATCTTACATATATATAGCTCTCACACATCAGAAGATTCATTTCTGTGTTAGTACACCTTTCATTGAACTAGCTTTTTTCTTGGCATCATAAGTTAGAGAAGACAGGAAATCCAGTAACAAGTATTTAATGGCATGAATGCAATACCCAGGAAGAGGAACTGGATTTCATAGTGGGACACACATAAAAGAAAGTATCCGAATATTCTTCTGTCACAGCACTGTTCTTGTATTGAATAATTTTAGTTTGTGTTCCATTAGCACAGTGGAATATTGCTACATTGGTGAGGCAATAATAATGAGGTACAGGAAGAGCAGATAACAACATGGAGAGACAGCAAGGTTAGGAAAAACTCCAAAATGGATGAACCGGGACAAATAATGCCGATATGGACAAATAAGACAGCGATATACAGAAATTGCTCTTGGCTGCACCGGAGCTCCGGGCTAGCTCTCTGGGTGCCACTCTGGCACAGGTAGTCACCAGGAGTGGGGAACTGCAGGGGAAAGGCGATCCCACTGCAGAACCTTCAGAGCACCGAATCCTGCTGGGCTCTGCCACATCAGGCGTCGTGGGTGTTGGCAAAAGGAAGGAGGAGACTCACTTGGCTGTACTTCCCAGGAACAGGTTTATTCAGGAGAGGGGATGAGTACAAGGGTCTGGGCTGGGAGAAATCAGGACCGAAGAGAGCCCCGAGCACCTCTGTGCACTGGGTTTTATCTCAGGGGCGGGCACAGTCCAGGGTCCAATGGGAGCTCACGGAGGGAGGGGTAAGGGGAGGAGGTTACAATATCAGGGACCAATGGGGATATAAAGAAGGCGGGAACATAACAACCAATAACGTGTCAAGGAAGGGATGATGTACATGGAAGGAGCTGGAAGGAGAGGTGGGGTTGACAATGATGGATGGGGAGATGGGGCAGGGTAAAGGTGATTGACGGGGAACATTCAGGAAAACTGGGAGGGGTTTATATAACAGACAAATGGAACCAACCAAAGCAGTAAATGGGGGAGAACCAGGAACATACCAAACAGACAAAACACTAACAATTTTAACAGAACTGAATAAACATACTACAACAGGAAAGACTCCAAAATGGATGAACCGGGACAAATAATGCCGATATGGACAAAAAAGACAGCGATATACAGAAATTATTGCACACACATGCAGAGTTATGCCTTAAAATGGAAAAGGAAAAATAAGCATTACACAAAATTTGCTGACTTAATATTTAAGGTGTGACTATGTCATACAGTATTTTTGGGGAACTTTCTGAACATGGTAATGTAGCAGTGAATCTAAACCTATGAAGAATTGAATGCTAAGCAAATAATTATGTCTCTGATAGCCCAATGTTTTGTCTGAAGTTTGGGAGCTCTAAGTCTCCATATTCTTGGGTATAAAATGAGTAAATTGGGAAGGAAATTGCTGTGTCTTTCTGCTATTATGATTATTCTATAGCCTACTTTGATTACTGGATTCATGCAAGGCCTGTGTTAGATGGATCTCTGTTCTGATTTTGTAGTTATGGCTATACTTTAAAGTTTTGATTCTCACCATATCATCTTCAAAATGGTGTTTGGTATTAAAACTCCAAAACATCAGAAAGTCTCTGGCTTTTTCAACATAATTATCTTCTGGTGACTAAACTTATGAGTGGCTTTTACAGTTTTATAGTCTTACTTTTTTCCAGAAAGACTTTTTTTGGTTTTTTTTCCCTACCTTTTCCTGGTTTGACTTTACATTTATCTGAGGAATATTTTAAACCTACTTTAATGGAAAAAAAACCAAAAAACAAAACGTGTACATATATATATTAAGATCCCATCAGTGTGCTGAATACATGGCAAGTCTCTAAGTGGTTTTGTTGTATTTCTGCTTAATGTAGACTGTGTAAACTGAAAGCCGTCTTGCCTTCTAACATACAGGTGCAGTCTTCTGGAGAGGACAGAATACTTGTGATGGGAGCAACAAACAGGCCTCAGGAGCTTGATGATGCTGTTCTCAGGTACTGAAGTGTCTCTTTTTCTGGATGTAAGTAAGATATTCATTATGAAGAACAGGTTTTGCCTAGCAACTTGGTGAAATTTTGCAATAAGTAAAAGCTGTTCAGCAAGGCTAAACTATTTAACCTCTCAAAGAGGGGCTTTACTCTTTTCTTTTGAGATGCATCTGCACAATCATGATGGTCTTGGAATTGTCTGAAACAGTAGTACCTGTTGAGAACAAGTGTTTTTTAAATTTCTTGGACTTAATATTTTGCTTTTTAGTTATTTGGATCTTAATGCCAGAATAAAGGAGAAAATTTGATCAGTATTCTAGACTGAGCAGAGATCCAGTATTACTTCTCTGTGAATATTGTCTTCTGACATCCCATGCAATTACAGATCTTTCTGTAGATTTGCCTTAGGACTTTTTTGTTAAAAGTACTCATACTTTATTCCCCTTTCATTCTTGATTGAGGAAAATAGATGTGTCAGCACTGCCTGAAGAAATTATTCCAAAGACTTTTGTGTAAAAATTAAGAGATGCTTCATTTCATTGCTGCTAGTCACTGGTGTTTCTACCTTTAGATTGTTTCCCCTCTGGGAGGAGTCTTGTAACTTCAGATAAGTGTAGGGTAGCACCAGTCACTGTACGTATTTTTTGTTTGGTTGTTGGTGGATTTTTCAAAATCTCCAGTTCTGCTTCCTAGAACTTGATGACGGAAGTGAAACCTCGTCACTTAAACAAATCAAATGAAGGATTTGTACGTGCTAAATAGTTACATAATAGTGTGAACAATGTATACGTGTTTGGGTTTTTTTTTCAGACGATTCACCAAACGGGTATATGTGTCTTTACCAAATGAAGAAGTAAGTATTGTTTTCCACTCATATTTTTCAGACACTTAGAGGCAATTTTTAACTTAGCCTTGATGATAACAATTCTGTGAACTAACTTCTGGCTCACCTTGATCATATCCACTGTGCATTAGTTTTAAGTTTTTTGCCTTTTTTTTTTTTTTTTTGCACTCACACTAGCAGTGAATCTGGTGGTAGCTACTCAGTATTTCTTGACTAGGTGTTGCTTACAGACTGGCAGACATGGGCAAGTCTGAAGTAGGACTTAGAGGGGCATGTTTGTTTTGCTGAAGGAGATTGTTCTATTGCAAAAGATAATTTTCCTAATGTTTTTCAGTTCAACAGGAGATCAGTACTTCTGATGAAGATTCTAATGACTTATTCTTGATACTAGTAGTTAGACTCTTGATCTTGTTTTTACCCAGTCCTTATCTCTGCTCCTGAATAGATGATATTGTACAGTCTAATTGCACAATCACTATAGGCAAGTTCAAACTGGTGAAGCACAAAAGCAAAACTGACAAAAGCATAGTTCTATTCTTGAAACACAATTTTAAGTGTTCTGTGAAAACGAGTTTTACATCTGATAATTTTATCTTCTTTTCAGACAAGATTGATTTTGCTAAAAAATCTTCTAAGCAAGCAAGGAAGTCCATTAACACAAAAAGAGTTGGCTCAACTAGCTAGGTAAGTATTTTGTAACCATACTAAATAAATATATTCCTCTATTCATTCAGACTGTTTACTTCATTCAAAATGTAACTAATGTAAATCATCTGACAGCAACAGCATGAAATGCATGCATTTGGGGAAGATGGTTCCCTGTCAGGCTGTCTAGAAGTGTTTTTATATATACATATATAGGATACCACCCAGTCAGGTTTCTGTTGTTGAAACATGCCTTTCCTTTGAGGAGGAGGGAGGAGGATGCTTCTTTCCACCCATCCCTCAAGGAGTCCAGCTCTCCTCCCTTATGCAGAAAGATAGTGCCAGTTTTGCACTTGGCATTCATTTCAAATAAAAGGCAAGGTCTCTTTGCTGGTGCCTCGTTAGGCTTGTTGAATGTATTACCGACACAGCAGAGCAAGCACTGGGTAATTTTAGATTCTTTGCACTTTCAGATTTGATTGGGAAAATGTTATTTTTCCCTCCTGCTATGGAATGGAGTTGTTTTATGTTTTTTATCATTGAGATTGACACAGTACTGCTGTTAGTCACATAAATCTAATAATGGGTGTGAAGGAGATTAGACTAAAAAGCAGGCAGGGTAGGAAGGAGTGAAAATAGAGCACGAAATAGCAAAGATATGCAGGTGGATATACTTCAGTCTTTTTCTCTTTGTGATAGTACAGCAGAGGTTAGCACAGTCTTGGATGCAGCGTTTGTTAGCCTCTTGGTAATGTTGCAGAAATTGATGTGTAATCCAACTGAATACATTCCCTGTTAGCTCAGGCCACATTTAGGCTGCAATAGTAGCTAACTGGAGGAAAAACACAGTCAGTGTCTGGTATTCTAACTGCAAATACAAGAACCAAATTACAAATGCAACTTGAGTGCACCTTTTTTAAAGGGTTTAGAGAAAATGTAGAAGTTCAGCATCCTGCCTACTTCTTTTTCCATCTTTCTTTGTTTTGAAAGATAGAAATATTTAACCTCCATTATGATTTTGTGTTGCTTTGCTTCTCTATAAACTTTATCTATAAACTGTAACAGACTTCTTATGATCTCCATAAGACTAAGCTCTTGTTGCTGCAGCTAGTCACTGCTCTACAAGGGTGGTGGTTTTGTTTTAGGTAACCTGTACTACTTATTTTCACTTATGTTGGCATTTTGTATTGATGGCTTACTGGTTCAGTGGAGGCCTTTATTCTCCAAAGTATTTCATTGGTTAACATGGATATTAAGTCTAATTCTGGAACAGCTCCCACAGAGTTTGGCTTCTTGGTTTGGGGTTTTTTGTTTTTTTTTTACTTCCTACCTTGTAGTCCTGAGGATTTGGATGATCTGCTGTCTTTATAAAACTAACAAACATACCCTAGTGGGTAGTAGAATTTACCTTCCTTTCAGTTCACTTTGTATCATATTAAACACGTGGTACTGGTTTCTCTCATTTTACTGATTGGATTGAAAAAGTACAGGACACTTGAGGTTTTGGTTTTATGGTAATTGACAAATGTTGATAAACTGCAGAATTGATAAACTACAGAATTCTCCTAACAGATAGTAAATGTGCTTGGGATCAGTTTTGTCTACAAATCCTAGTTGCTACTTTTTTTTTTTGCTAGAATGTTATTTGGGACTTGAGTATCTGTGCTTTGAATTTAATCTGTGAAAGATCATTTACAGTGAAATATAGATCACTTACAGTGAATGCACTTCTGATTTATTAAACTTGCAAAATAACGTTAAAGTAATACTTCTTCTGATTAACTAACATTTTGATTATCTGATACTAAATTGATGTGGTTTGAAGCAGGTTTTTGGTTTTTTTCCTTCTTTCTTGACCCCACTTTTTCCTTTGACAAAGAATGACAGATGGATACTCTGGAAGCGACCTAACTGCATTAGCGAAGGATGCAGCACTAGGCCCCATTCGAGGTAAGCTGCAGAGATTTTTATTGAGGTTTTGACATTAGAGATATATTTTCTTTATCTTTATAACTCTCAAACCTCTGAAATTTAATCTTTTTACATTAGATTTTAGTCTGTTCGTCATAATAGCATCTTTATAAGATTTATTTACACAAAATCCTTCAGCATCTCACCATGTGAAACAAAACTTTTGTCGTAGGAGAAAAGCAGTGTGAAATGTTTCTCACTGATTTGTGGGGTTTTTAACTATTGTCTTTCTGATGCTGGTGTCAGTTCTGTTGTAGCTAAATTACTACTTGAATAGCAATTGCTGATTGCATTACTTGTCTCTATAAATGGGTCAAATCTCTTTCAAGTCTAAGGGAAGGAAAACTGAAACAAGCAGTTTTATGGGGTTTTTCTAGTAACAGTTTGAATGGCATAGCTTTTTGTATTTTTAACTCTTAATGTTGTATTGTGATCCAGATGACAGCTGTGAATGAACTAGAGTTTTACTTATATTTGTTCTTTATCTGACATGTCCAACTAAGAAAAAAACACAGTTTTACTGTGAATACTTTTTTCCAACACCTCCTCTTATTTTTTTCATTTAACTAGTTAGTTATGTGTCCAGTACCCCCATCTGAGGAAACTGATCTTGTTTAGTGGAGATCAGTAGCAGGATTTCTGTGCAGAAAAGATTGTGAAGATTTGGTGTTAGTGTCCTGTTTGTAGACGTATTGTCCTACTTGACAGGTACTTAAGGCAGGCAGAGCAGAAATGTTCTGTAATATCAGCCTATTATGTGTAAATAAAAATTGTTGCAACTCTCTTAAATTATTTATGGGGAGGAGAGGTATATTCATGTTTTGTGGGTGTGTTTGTGTTACTATTTTTAAAATCTTGTAACATGCATTTTTGCCAGTGCACTATCTCTTTTGAAAGCAGCTGTTGGAATGTAATGTTTTTTACCCACTTTCTTTCAGCTGCTGAATTTGTAAAGCACATCTTTCACGATCCTGCATAATAATAACCTGTTTTCCTGGGAAACAACTGCATTAAATGGCTCTCATAAGAGACATCATGTCTCCTAAGACTTTGAATATATTTATTTAGAGTGGTGGAATTAATAATGTGTGCATTTAGGTATGCAGGCTTTACTTCACATGCAAGTCCATCTCAAGAAGAGACCATGAAACATGGTGCAACATATTTCTTTGACTTGCTTCTGTACTCCATATAAAACAATATATTTTTGAAAATGTTGTGTGATACCATCCTTGCCAATCATGCTGTCGTGGTTTTAAACCAATAACTAAGAAAATTACTTATTTCTTGCTGTGAGATATGGATTAGAACAAGAGCAAAACAGGCATAAAACTTAAAAGGGAAAAAGAAAGAAAGTTTATTGACAAACTACAATAAGAACACCAGAATAAACTTCCAGAAAAACCTTTTCATCCCCTGTCTACCCACTATTCCCTTGTTCACATGACAAAAGAGACAAAACCTTTGGAACTTTGATGGTTAAAACAGTCCCAATTCTTGCTACAGTCTTTTCACCAGTCTTTATAGAGAAACAGAAGTTTCTTCCTGTTAATTTATGGAGTTTCTCACAAGAAAAACTATTTTTCTTATAGTTTTCCATTGCTCTAATGTTAGCTGCCCAGAGCTGCTGTTATTAGAGCCCCCTTCTCCCATTTTTCACATCACTCTTAAGTGTGTATGGGCCATGAGTCTAGGGATGGGATTTTTAAGGATAAGTTATTCAAAGGCAAAAAGTCTTCTTCATCTGTTTCCGTGAGCTTCACCAGAAAACAGTTTTCTCATTGCCTCTCAAGGCTTCAAATCTTCCAGCACTTCACTGTGCCATAATTACTCTACTTTTTACTCAAAATTTACACTTTGAACACTCTATTCCTCCCTATATACTGTCATGAATTAAAGGAGTGTTTTCAAGACCTTATTGTCCATTTCCATAGTTTTAACAGAAAGATATTTCAGCTTAATTAAAGCATCTTCTTAATTCTCTACCTTTTCTGAAGCTTCTTTTCTTTCCTGTCACTGGTAGTTTATAAAGTCTCTTTTCATGTTGATCACTCTCTTTTTCTCTCTCTGGATAAAAAGATTAATCCGCAAGTCTCATCTGGGTAATGAAAGAGTTAAAATCTTGCCCAGGCTGTTGTAGGTAGTTCTGTGGCCTCGGCCGGTGCAGGAGCTGGAGCCGTCTGCGATGGAAAGTTCCTCATGGCTGCTCTGGAGAGTGTAGTCGCCGCGCCCAGCCCGCTGCAGGCCCAGAGCCCCTCTCCTTCTTCACTCAGCAGTCTCCAGTGAATCCAGCCACAGCAAAAAACCTGCAGCCGAGCCAGAGATCGGCTCGGCCCGGCCCGGCCGGAGCCCGGAGAAAACCCCCTCCACAGGGCCCGCATCCCCCGGCCGGGAGATGCTGGGCCCAGCCCAGTCCCCGCCCGGCCGCATGGCCTGGGCAGGGAGAGGGAAGCCTGGGGCTCTGCCGCCCTTCCCAGCCAGGAAACAAAGAGAACCAAGAGAGCTCTGGTTTTACACTTTAAGGTAGGGTTCACAAGTTGATCCCACTTTTCAATGGCCTAAACTGCTGTCAATTCTCAGCAATGACCGATAATTGGTCAGGAGAAAAGACGCCAGGCAGATCCCAGCAACTTAAACTTTCTTAAAGGTAAAGTAACTCCATGACACATGCCTAGATTCTTTTTCTTGTACCCTTGTAGCAAAATGTTTGCTGTTACTTGTTGATACCATGAGAGCACTGCGAGTTTAAAAAAAAAAACAACAATTTGGTGAATGATACAAGAATGTTTAGATCCCACGAGTGCAGCATAGGGCAAGAAGCACTCTGATGTGCCCTGCTGGATTTTATTTCAGTGTTCTTGGCTGACTGTACCTTCTGTTTCTTGAAATTTAGTAGGGAGATTGTGGATACCACAAATAATATGGGGGAAGGTAGCTCTGTTGGCTTGTGTGCTATTTTCCATACTTTAGAAGAAGGAATAATTCTGCTACTACTCTATGCTGCGTCTGCAGTAACTGAATGTAGGAGCATCCTGTTCGAGGAGGAGCTGATAAATGGGGAAGAAGGAGGCAAAAACACCATGTACATTTCTATACAGAAGACTGTGTTGAGGCAGAAAGGTATAATTTTTAGCTGCAGGGTTGTTTTTTTTTCAGAATAGAAGTGCTTTTAACATGTTTTAGTTGTCAGAAGTGATGGAACTTTTCTAATGAAACTCACCCATTTATCTTTTGTTTTCACAGAATTAAAACCAGAACAGGTGAAGAACATGTCTGCCAGTGAGGTAAGCTGTTCTAGCAGCTGTATTTTCTCATTCAAATAGAATGTTTTCTCACTAGAAACATTTAAGGTCCCTTTTTTATGTGTATTGTCATACAAAATATGATAGTTTTGGGGGGTATTATCCCTTCTAATCACTTCTTCATTAAAGAAAATTGTTTAGAAATAGAGATTGAGAAGATGTGTCCTCAGATGTCTGAGGTTCATGGGTAGTTGGTTGGCTTTCAAGGCTTCAGAGCACTTCTTTTTTTTGTAAGTCTGTTGTTCTTCATTTCAGCTGACTGTCCTGTCTTTTCCTTCACACTGAACTGCAGTATTTGTTACCTAGCTGATGAAGTCAGAGGCCTGGCTTTTATTTTCTCAGTGTTATTTCCCAAGTATTACGTGAAATTACTTCTACCTCCTCCACCCCATCTTTATGTAAGGCAGGTTTACTTAGGGAGAACCTAAAACAGATTTATGCATGTATAATACTTGCATTCATTCACATGGACCGTTATAAAGAAAAATATTATGCTCTTGACCACAAACTGCAGCTGTAAACATCAAAAGAAAAAAAAAAAAAAGCAATTGGTCCTGTGTATAAAAGTTTCTCTTCAGGTATGTGTACAGGTGTTACACAGGGGAAGATGAGGCAAAACTTAATTTCTCAGTTCCTTTTTGTGTTTGGCCTGAGGTGGCAGCTAAAGCTGTAAGCTGGAAGGAAGGATTTGTTGCAGGAGGGTAAGAGAATCTGTGATAATTTGCTGTGATGTCCTCATGTGCACAAGCTCACACCACCTACTGAAACAGGAAGTAATGACACAGTCTCATGAGCTATTTAGTAACAAGGCAGATCTTGCTATTAGCAAGTGTTAGTTTACTAAAAATGGTAAATACTGGCGGTCTTAAATGACAAGAATCTTGCATCAGGTTACAGAATAATAGAACACCCTGGTTTGGAAGGAAGCTCAAAGGATCACATGGTTCATCCTTTTATGGGAAAGGGAACTTAAATGAGATTATTTAGCACCCTGCCCAGTTGTATCTTCAAAACCTGCAGCAATGGAGACTCTACCACATTCTTGGGGGTTGTTGCAGTGAATGACTGCTCTCACTGTAAAAAAATTTTGTTTTACATCAAGATGCAGCACTCATAGAATGTGTTTTGTTAAAAGTGAATACTCAAGTACTTCTTGAATAAACCAAAGTATATAAACCACTTCTGGCCCTGATGTCTTTCATGTTCTGTTTAGATGAGAAACATTAAACTGTCGGATTTCACAGAATCTTTGAAGAAGATAAAACGCAGTTTGAGCCCTCAGACCCTGGAAGCATACATTCGCTGGAACAAGGACTTTGGAGATACCACAGTGTGAGACACTACTTGAAGTGAAACAGTGCTGCCTGGGGAGCAGATGGTGCAGATGACTGGGAAGCAGCCAGAGTTTACAGGACTTTACAGATATTTAAGTATCTGCATTAAAACTTGAGATTAAGAGAAAATTACACAATGTGAAATGTGTTCATCATAGTCTCCTTGCCATTTAGTGAGGATTTACACACTGTAAGTAAGAGCACAACAGGACTTGAGATAAGATTCCTAGCAATCCAATTTTGGTTTGAACATTAATTATATGTATATTGTTTCTGCTACAAGGCTCTGATGACATTGATCATTGGAGGACCTTTTCCTATGTTATGTGTGTGGTTTTTTTGTTTTTAATTTTGCCATGACATTGATGAACAATGAACTTGGAACAATGATGTTCAATTGGAGGTTTGTAAACTTCAGTTAATTTTTTTTTACTTTTTTAGTCTTAATGTGCCAAATAAAACAATTTCCCTGTGCAAAGTGGAAGAACAGCATTGGGGAATTACAGTTATTAAAATGTTAAAAGTAGCTGGTCTGTTATTATTTGTCTTTTTGTTTTGTTGTAATGTGACTGAATTGTTCACAGGTTTAAAGAAGACCTTTGATAGCAGAACAGCAAAAAAACCCAACCTTATAAAACCAATTCAAACTGCCTTTTAGAAGAAAAATTGCTAAATAAAAGAATAGATTGAGATATTCATTTACTGGCAGTATTTTCTCTTAATGCATTTTGTAACGCTTTCATTAGTAGAATGTTAGATTATGCTTACAGTGTACAACTTGAGCCCAGCTGATGTTTGAGAGAGTAAGTGATGCTAATTGTTGAGTTTCAGAAATGATGTGTTTCTACTCTGTATTTTGGTCTGTTTATGATAATTGAAAGTAAAATTTCCATTGTGATAATTTTTTTTTAATCTCCACATGTAAGCATTAAAATACAAGGCGACATGTTTAATACATGGCACACATTAATGTTTTTATAGCTTTCATATGTTTCGGTTTATATATTAAAGTATGAAACACTCAACTGATCTGCTTTTTTAAAAAGAAACTGCATCTTTGTACAAATACTTGTTTTTATTATATAAATGACAAGCTATTAAAAAAACAAACTCTTAAATGATAGCCTTTAAATACCATAATAAAGGAAAGCATTTTTGCCTTTACTTCCAAAGGCCCAACATCTTGTTTACAAATTCTACACAGATTATACACAGATGTTTGTAAGGCAAAACACTGGTTCCTTGTTAAAGAAGGTTTGTGGGGTGTTGGGGTTTTTTGAGGTTTTTTTTTTGGTTAGTTTGGGGTTTCTTTTTTTTACACCTCTCCCAACTTAGTGATACTGCAAAAATGCATATTGTTTACTGTTGTTTTAATGAAATGAGTTGTTGTTTGCTTTTGGTCTTAACAGGAAATTTAATTTTTCATTTAACTTATTTTTTGGAACTACTTACCTGAAAGTTGACTATAATTAATATATTATATGTATATATGAAAAAAGAACGCAACCCTAGCTGGTAGATACAGTTGTAGGTATAGTAATACTCTGAGAGGACTGTGCTCACTGTGTGGTATTGAGTACTAAATAGCAGAAACTGTCAAACCTTTGAGATTCACATATGCAATATGTTTGGGATTCTTTTTTTTTTTAACCAGAGATGCTTTTAACTAATCTTAAGATTAAAAGCAATCAAATGAGAGAAGATTGTGTTCCACTACTATGCCTTTTGAAACAGTCTAAGGAAACCACTTCTAGCCTTCTAAGGGTAGGACTCTCAAATGTACATCTTATGTAAATGAAAGGTGACTTTGATTCCCCTGATTCTTTTCTGGAGAAATGCAAAAAGATTTCAGATTCTTAAATCTCATGTCTTGCTTTGCCTTAGTTCTGCCTTCAGTAGACCATCTCTGTTATTGGAGATTCCTGGCTGACTTGATCCATATTTGTAATATTCTTCATAGTGCTAAGCATGAATATTACTCTTGTATTAGCATCTGTCAAATAGCTACAGCTAAGAAAGGGTCTTTGTTTTATTCATAAAGCCTTGGTACACATTCCTTGAGATCCTTTGCAAATGAGAACTTTGAAGATAACACTTCTGGTTTTGAATGTTCCTCAATGATTGTTATAAAGCTCTTGGTTTTGTCCACTTAATTTTGAAGAATATACTGATTATTTATTTTAAATGCATACTCGTTGGCATGGGAGATAGGTACCTGAAATGTTGAGGTAGAAGTCCCCATCTCCTAAAGCAGCACCAGTATAGGCAGCACAAAGAGTCAGAATCACCAGCTGCTACTTAAAAAGAAAAGGGACCAGCCCTTTCACTAGTTTGTACAACCAGTTCAGGTCAAGAGAATCTGTGTGACTGGTACAGCTGCTTTTGGTCTTCTGTTATGCTTGATTGGTTTCTGCTTAGTGGATGAACTGCAGCCCTATAAATTAGTGCTGGAACACATGAAAAAGAAGAAAATTTTGTTCTGCAATATGAGTTTGTCCCACAGCTGCTGGATTCTTAGCCGTGGCCAGGTGCTGTTTGGTTCATAAATCTCCTTTAAATTTCTTGTCTTATGCTATTTTCTGAATAGTGTCTTCTAAGAATAATTCTGTTACGCTTAAGCCATTATCTTGCATCTTACTCTGTTTTACATGTACTAAATCCCAGCTCAGTGATTCCATCTATATGTTGGATTAACTCTGTGTAAGAGGGAAAAGCAACCACAACAACAGAAAAAAAATCACCAAACATTCCCTCCCCCATCCCCGCCCCCCCAAAAAAAACCACCCAAAACTCTCAAATTACCTGTATTTCCCAAGTCTACAGAGAACTTTACAGCTCCATTTTCCATAGAATCGGGTTATGTTCTAGTACAATGTCTTGAATCAGGATAAACAGGACAGCAGCTTTGGTGCTTTTAACCTTTGTGCAATTACCATTCCATTAGCTCTCTGAACTGGTTTTTTCCTTTTTTTTTTTCCCCCATTTTTTTTCTGAGAATCTGCCCACTGCTAGTGAATGAACAACTTGACCCACTTTCTTGACATGATTAATAAGCAGCTTGTCTGGCTCTATGCAAGTATGTTTTACTGACTTTAAAGTGTAGCAGTTACTGGAGGGAGAAAATAAAACCAACCCAAACCTCTTGTGTTTTTCTAACAACCTTCTTCATACATCTTTCTGCTTTTATTAAGCAGGCTTCTGCATTTTATTAATCAGGAGCCACACATTTTGTCTTTCAACATAATGGAAGAATAGTATGTAGATTGCTCTTTCTCCTTAAAATGAGAATTTGTTGTGTGTTAGGATGTTCCCTCTACTAATGCTGACTTTTCTGTGGAATACAGCAAACCTGTACAGGTTCTCTGCATATACTAAGATAAAACCAACACAGAATATTAAAGATAAGCCTTAAACTTGGATATTTATGCATGAATAAGTTTCTCTGTCCTTTCAGTTTCTTAGACTTTACAGCATTTAGTGTATCAGAAATTGTGCCCCTGAGATGTCTTACCGACTCAAAGCCATTGCTAATACAGTTCTATTGAATATGGCCCTGCAACTCTGTGTAGGTAACAAATAACACTTTAAAGTGAATGAGAATGGGATCTCTAAACTGAGAAGGTATGTTATCACTGCACTACTTACAGGCTGTTGCTGGTTTTACTGTTCTGTTCTCTGAAATCTTTTTAAAATTACAGTTTCTATACATATAATTCAATTAACCTGGTGTTGAATAAATAGTATTTTTTCTATTCCAAACAAGTGGAGTTTAGCACTGCTTGGAACTGCTGTCAGGTCCTTCTTGTGAAATTGAAGTACTTTGTACTGGGAATACTGAAGTCAGACGTGCTGGCAAATAGAACTGAGACATCTGTTCTGCAACTGGAAAGCAGCATTCTCCTTGGGGGTTTCCTTAATCCTTAAACAAAGTGAGACTTTGTGCCCTAGATTTTCATAGTGCTTTCCTACCCAAAACATGGATGATGCATAGTTGTGCCTAGGACATGCTTCTCTAGCTTCTCCAGCGCTTTAGTGATACTTCTGCATCACTTGGGCAGCTTTGGGAGGTGGACAGTTCTACTGTGCCTGACAGATTAATTTTTTGTGGTTGGCCTCAAGCTTTTGGGATGCTTCAAGTTATTGGGGTTTCTACCAGATAACAGAAATGGAATTAAGAGTAGCAAGCAGGTAGTGAATGCAACTAGTTATCTCAGTCATTGTGCTAATTAGAGGCAGTTTTATTATTAGTTGCTCTTGAGCTGCTATTTAGTGTTGAAGAATGTTTTACTGACCTATGTGAATTTTCATCTTTAGGATGATCTGCAAACATCCTAAGAGATGACCAGTTGATCAGCTATTTTCTTTTAGGATTTATTCTTTAATTATAATTTTCAGTATCTTTAATTATGATAATTATAATTCCACAGGATGAGGAAGTTAAGCTGTCACTTCCTGCAAATACAAAATCGTCTTGTAAAATATGGGGAAATGTGTGTTCTGTTTTTCCTGCTTCTTGTGCAAATCATTAACTGTCTTAGAGTGGAAGCTTCTTACCTTGTCAATAACTACCTCCTGAGTCCAGCAATAATTGGCAAGGTATACACTCCTCTGGTGGATTCAGTATACTGGCTCAACACTGCAGATTCTTCAGTCTGGTCTTCTGATTTGAAAACACTTGACGTTACTTCTGGAAAACTATGGTGATGAACCTTATTTTGCTGTAAGACTCTCCTTGCCTTCATAAGATACACTTCTTAAAAAATCCTTTCTTCAGAGAAGTGGCTTTGAGGATAAAAAGTCGGTGTTCTTTGTAGTTGGTTAATACAGGTGTAGTTGTCAAAGATGCTGGGGTGTGGCCTCTCAGTTATGCAGGGTTTTCTCCCATTAGAAGTGGGGAAGAAGGTACTTTGTCTAATAGTCGCACACCTGCCAAAAGGACTGGAAATACAGAAACTGCTTTTGCTACATAATTCCAATTTCTAGTCATATCAAGGGCTAGTCAGTATTTTTCAGAAATCTGTATTAAAGTGATGAAAACCAAAGGTGGAGACAAAACACTGCACCCCACCCCCATAAAATATATTGAATAACTCCAGTCTGGGATGGGATTAATATTTGTATTTTGTTGTTTAGAAGCACTTTTGTTTCATTGTTCTTTTAAGAATGTTTTCTGAAATGTTAAACACCATTTTACTAATAAGCAATGTAAAAAAGCATGACAAGCAGTCACATAGCTTTAGCTCACAATAAAATGTTTCATTTGTCCTGTTATTACTGTTTTCTTGTCTGTGTATCAGATAACACGTCCAAAACTAAAAGCCTTTTCATTAAACTTGAAGCCTATTAAATTGCTGCTGGTTTAAAAAAAAAAATTAAAAACATCAGGTGTTGTATACCAAATGATGGAACAATAAATATGTAAATAAATCAGTTTCTAAAGAACGTTAACTCAAGTTCTTAAAACTAATGTAAACAGAAGTGCTACTTCCTAAATAAATGTGCTTAAACTGAAAGTGTGTGCTTATCCTAGTCTTGCTAGATCATGATGAAAACCAGGAGCTTTTACATAACTAATTCTGATGGTCATGGTGAAGTCCTGAAAAATTTGGAGCAAATTTGCTTGGCTTCAAAATGGCTTTTCTTTTGCTTGGGGGAGAGTGCTGCTATTAATTCTGAGTTAACAGTTTCTTTACCCATTGCCTTACCATTTATAATTCTTTGTCTTGAGGCTGCATCTGGACTGCTTTACTGCTACGGGGGTGTTCTGTTATTACAGTTACATCCTGAAGATAAAATTAATCAAACTTTATTTCTTTAAAACTTATTTTAATATTACTTATCTGGCAGCTTTAGGGGTCTCCCAAAAAACAGCCATGACCATCGCTTTCCTCATATCATGTCAATCACTGCTAAAACAAACCAACCAAGTAAAAATCAATACAGCAAGGAGTAAAAAAAACCAGTGTTTTGGACTGAAGCATATGAGCTATTCCTGCTTCTGTCAAGGAATAATTCCTTAGGACAAAAAGACATCACTGGTGTCTATTCTAGGTATCTCTCTTTGGCTGAAATACTACTGCTTGGAGGTAGATTTTGAGCAACTAAAATGATTTCTATTAGTAATTTTGTGTATAGGTTACAGACATTCAAAGAGTCTTGTAGAGGAGATAATCAGATAAAATTAGTAAAGAAAGAAGAGCATGAAAAAATATATCTCACCATTTGCTATTTGGAAATCTACAGAGATTTTGGAAGCATACCCTGGACTGAAGTTTTTCTTGGACTCATTAAATTGTTCCCATTCCAGCCAAGATGGGGAGACAAGGCTGCATGCCTAGTGTTAGATGCTGGTGTATCTCAGATCTGTTTATTTCTGCATTTTAGTACTCTAAATTTGCCAGAGAAAAGTGAGAAAAAAGTAAGTTAAAACTTGGGGTTTTTTTTTTGTTTGGTTTGGTTTTTGTGGGGTTGGTTGGTTGGTTGGTTGGTTGGTTGGTTTTGGGGGTTTTATGTTCATTTGTTTGGGTGGATGGGGTTTGCTTTGTTTTGGGGTTTTTTATTGGGTTGTTTTTCCCCAATCATGTCCCCTTTCTGCAATTTCCCAAATACGACATGAACTTGTGAAATCCAGCCTGTTTTCTACAAGGGTTTATATGGCTCTAGAGAAGACAGTTACGCACTTTCTCTAAATTATTTTTTATTCTGTGTATCATGATAAAACAGAAAATACATGTAGTGGTGAAGGCAGAAAAGTATAATTTAACTAACATCCATCTCTCAACACTTGTGGGACTATTCCAGGTGCTGTGTTGTGGCTACATTAAAAAAACCACGTTTTTTTCAGAATATCAGTCTACAAACAACCTATTGAGTAAAGTGTGATGTTTTTACTACCTAGTTTTGAAAATTCCACTTTTTTGGCAAGTGTATATTGTAAGAACAGTATATTCTAAGTCTGAACTTGTGTTATTTTCAAATCTCATTTTAGCAATTTCTTAAAGGCCTCAAATTTGCCCGAGTTGTAACACATCCTTAAAGACTGCTAGTTTTGTTATATGCAGAATGCTAGTATCAGCTGTGCTATTATAGAATTTTTCTTCTGTGAGGACACTTCTGCAAGTGCAGTTTCTAGTAACTAACTATTGGCCTCTTCTGGGAAGAAATACCCTGTGACATCAAATAAATCAAAAAGCCCAATACTATGTCAATAATGAAGTAACCAAACGACTCTATGGAGCAAATTATACCAAATTATACAGTGGTTCATCTGAGTTCTGATTTCCTCATTAAATTTGAATGGAAGCAGCAGCTGGAGTTTGAATTTCTTGCCTGTCATCCAGATTCTATAAAGTACAAATCTATTTTCTGCAAATACTTTCCAAAACTTCCTCCATCCTGGAAAAAAAGCTTACTGGTTACAGCCAAGAGCTTAGAATAAGGTCTGAGACATGAAATAT